AAATCAGTACATCATCAAGTGTTCCACTCCATTCCGTTCTATTCTGCTGGTGTTCCGCTGTTTGGTGACAATGACATTCTCACAAGTTAATTCCAAAAAGTCCCTTTCTGTCCAGACTACCCACCGGCTTCGCTAAAGCAACTTGCTGCTATAAAGAGTGCATTTGATTTTTTTTCATTTAATTTAATGTACATTTTGTCATCCAAGAAGTTATACATTTTTATTTTCAAAAAAAATTAAATAATAATTTTACACTTTACTCCTTGTCCAATATACCAGCCCTTGTTTAAAAATGTATGGGGGTTGGGAAAAATGTTAGTTTCTTTATTTTTTTGTTGATTGAAATCATAATAAAAAAAGTGGGGTAGGGGCACCTGTTTCTACTGAACATGCACTACTCCATATGGAACTAGTTAAATGTAATCTAACTAAAGGGGGGAATAGTTGACTAAACATAATTCAGAGGACATGGTAGTTTGTGGGTTACATTACAATTCAATATTCAAAGAATTACATTTAAGGTATACACAACACATACATTTTAGCCCCCGATCTATTGCAGATATCTTTTACTACAGTGCTTTCATGAGATGGTATCCTGCTGTAGGGCACACTTGTATCTTCCTCATCCATTGCCTCTTAAATACAATTGTAAAATACCAGCAATTGAAACAGCAGCAAAACCACAAGTTATTCCTCCTCTTCACGTAACGGCACCATGATATATAACTTACACTTTTCATTTTTTTTCAACTCTTTCTCTGACATGAGGTAAAGTATGGCGCCCAAGTGCAATGCTCTATTGTGCTACATGTACAAAAAGAAAACAAAATAAAAACGATTATCCGTTGCCAGTTCGCAATTGATTGAGGACTACCTTATAACTATACTTCCATAAAACACCTTTACTAAGACAACACTCGGGTTGGAGGCAATGCATCATGCCGCAACATCTAGCTTGAATGATCATTTCTTAATTGGGTATTTTCATCAGTGACCAAATAAAAGTGGTGTGGGTGTGGCACCATATGAGTGATTTCACATTCTTGTTAAGTAATCCCCCCACATAAAACATTGTGTGTGTGTGTGTGTGTGTGTGTGTGTGTGTGTGTGCGCGCGCTTTGAAAATCCACATTTCGGAAACAAAACCAACCCCCAAAAATATATAGATGAATGTTACATTTGCTGTTGTAGTTCGGGGTCACACAACTGTTGCTTGAGAGCTTAAATCCAGATTGCACTCTATACGATGTCAAACTATATGATATAAAACAAAAATGGTCAGAATCTCTACCACTGTAGTTTACTAAAGCCTCCCCCTTCTAGTCACACACACACACACACACACACACACACACACACACACACGAGTGGAATGATGGAACAATGATAATGTATAAATTTAGCAGGTATAATATATTTTCACATATTTACATGGTTATACCAAAGTTCAGAAACCAAATGATGTATGGCACCAGGTTAATAGTAATGTAATAAGTACACATACGCACTATGAACAAACAGTACTTGGCTCGTTGCAGCTACTGTAGGCAAGGTTGCTGAACCTTGAGACACAAGAGTTGCAGTATTCGCTTGATTTAGGATACGATAAGTTGGAAGGCACTGTTTTAGTTTGCGTTATTCGTCTGTCAAAAATATACGTCATCAAATAGATACAAGTAACTCTGAGGGAATGTTGTATATCAGTGCAAATAATTATGAGTTTATATATATATATATATGTTTATATATATAGATATATTAGATTGTTCAAAGTATGGATGTCACAGTAAAAAGACTTCAGCATATATGTCACTGCCATAGATATGTCAAATTGCAGTCTTGTCCAGAAAAAAACAGTTTATTTGTACTGATATATATTTAAATAAGACATAGGGACTGGCAATGAGCAGAGTGCAGTGTCTTCTGAGGTAGTTTACCTATGGTAGGATTTTATGACTTAGCCATACACTTGCTTAAGTTGCCATACTGACGGAAAGCCTCAGAGCCATACATGATATATATCTATTAAATATACCACCATACAATCCTCCTCAAAACTCCTAATTCATTCATCAACTTTGGACATCATTAAGTACGTTTATAATTTGAAAGAGCTTAATTACGTTTCTTGCACACCCACTGTTTTAGGACAACACAGGTGTCTGTGAGGAATGCCATTTTCAAGTGAGTTGAGAGTAGAGTGAGAAAGAATCTTAGAATATAGAATATGGAATCTAAGAATCTAGAATGTTAAGCCCCCCACAGACTGTACAAATTCAGCCGTCTTATGCCACGATTTTGCCATACCAGACAACATTTTCACATCACGGGCAAATTCGTAAGTCGCAAACGATTGTCAGACATCTTCGCTCGTTCAGTGTGACAGGGTGTAGTTCTGTCGATTACGTGCGGTCGGTCGTAGGCTCTGTGTAGTGTGGCTGGTGTTACGAGCTGATCCCGGTGACTGACCAATAGGAACACGGGCCGGCACTGAGTATGCACACAATAATACGATTATTGTGAATAGTCAGATTAATATAATAGTTCGATTTAAACGTTTACATGCTGTGCAAGAAGAACGATTTCCATAATATTCTTGTTTACATGACACATCTGAAAATCGGGCTAACTGATGGGATTTTGATAAATGCACAAAATCGCAAATCAAAATAAATGTTCTACCACAGCGACCATGTTATTTCGGGGGAAGCCTATTTGATTCTGAGTACGGACATATAAAGTTTGCATGTGAAAACTATGCATACTTTCAGTTTTTCTGAACTCGCGCATGAGCATAGATCAAATACACTGCTGTAGTTGACATAGCCTACGTCTGCTGACCTAGCCTCTCAAGCCAGTCACAGAATGTGACGACAGAACTGAAGCAAATCGTCCAATCTGACAAGGTTGATATCAATATTTTAATTTGGTAACGTCGCACAGTGTGACATGTGACAATCGTAAAAGACTGAACCCGACGTACAGTCTGCAGAGGCCTTCGACCTACATTACGACTGGGCTGGCAACACACAGTGAGCGATATAGAGTGCAATCGGTTTACTTCAACAAGCTACAGTACAGGAGGCCCCCTCTATCTTATAATTGCTAATTCATGTATTCTTCATTTGAAGAGGACTGATGCTCAACATTACTTTAGGCTTATGTTTGTGCAGAATGAGAATACCTTCAGGTTTTACCAAATCTTCCAAGCATTAAACCAAGAGGGGAGGAAGAAGAACTAGACCCGTACAGCTTGACGGCTGCTAGAACAGGACAACCAACCCAACTGACAGATTTAAAAAGGTCAAAGAAAGAGGTATTATAGTTACAGTGCAAAAAGGATGAGAAATTCAAGGTTAATACAACAAAAAACATAGCACCCAAAAAAAAGAGAGAATGCATGCAATCAACTGAGGTATTCAAGTGAAGAGGGCTTATTGATACTACTGAGAGGAAATAAAGACATTTAGTCTAAGAGGCTATGTAGTCACAATGTGGAAGCTGTGTCACATCATGTGTTTGAAGTAAATCATTAAACATCCGCAGGAACTGACTTCACATGTGCAACCCTGTAGCATGACATCTGCATTAGCTTTGGTAAGTGAAGGGATGTGTGAACCACGATTCTGTTGAACAACAACAACGTTGCCTGTGTCCTAAAAACTGTACTGAAAAGGTGCTCTGTGTCTTACAAAATGACCATCAAAATAAAGATGCTCAATCTTGGTATCCAAAAGACATTACTTGAGACCAAAGTTGTCGACTTATGTCATAATAATAAACATTTAATATCTCTTTCTGTTTGCTCTAGATATATTGATATATTTATAATGTTTATATAAGCCATCCAGTTGCCATGGTTATTAATACATAAGCTACACAAACATGCATCCTCGAGTGCTGTTTAAAAACTCTTTTTAATTTACAGTAACCGGGAATGTTGAATTCCTATTCTTTTTTTCAGGATACGAGGGAGGGCCTTAGTATGTAAGGCAAATAATATTTATATTTCATCATAAATGTATATATATTGTTACGTATGGGATTTTGTTGTCCATCCGACCACACAATTCTTAACATAACAGACCCTAATGGAATAAGTGCAATAATGACTGAGGGTACATCCCAAATGGCACCCTATTCCCTATATAGTCCACTACTTTTGACCAGGGCCTATAGGGTCCTATATTGGGGATAGGGTGCCATTTTAGACGCATCCTAAGAATACCATCTCAAGACAGAGTTCAGACAGAGGTGGGCCACACTGGTTGTCTTCACCAGTGGTCTGGCCTCTGTTTGCCATGTCCTTAGCAATAGCATTTAAAAAACCGCTTTAAAAAAACTGGCACTAGTGCACACACTGAGGAGTATAGCGTTTTTCGTATTTTTTGATTTACACCTTTGATTTGAACTATGTACAAATCTAATACTACTCATAATACGCATACGCCTAATATCTCACTGACACAAAGCAAAAGTTAAACAAAACAAAACAAGTCAAAAATAATTATAATTAAGAAAAAGTGAGAAATAAACAAAGCGACACCTGACTTTTTTTTCTTTTTAACACTTTGCTATATGTTAATAAAGCACTCTCGTGATTACACAAAGCAGAGAACAGAAGGAAAGTAAAGATTGTGTTTGCAACAACAACAAAAAAAATGTAATGTGAAATCCGTTACAACTAGATCAGCTCTCGTTGTCACTTCCCCATGTCTCCACAGAACGTTCCCTGGCTGCCCTGGTTGTGCCATTGTGGGCTGAAGATACAGGACTAATGCTGCACTGTGTTGGTAGCTAGCATCAGTTGCTAGCACTGGTAGCTACTGGTTAGCATCAGTAGTTAGCATCAGTGGCGACTAGCTAACATCAGTAGCTAGCTAGTATCAGTGGCTACTGGCTAGCGACAGTTGTAGATAGCATCAGTTGCTAGCACTGGTAGCTACTGGTTAGTATCAGTAGCTAGCACCAGTAGCTAGCTAGTTAGCGTGTGAAGCTCAGTTGTTTGGGACCTGAGGTTGGTTGGCTTTGAGGCTGCGCAGGGCCCGGCGTGCGGCGGCAGACTTGGCGATCCGGTAGCTGCGGCCCACGCCTTTGAACTTGCCTTTGCCCACAACCTCCACTGTTACACGGACCTTCCCGTCATACGTCCGTTCCGCAGGGCTGAAGAGGGGGGCATTGAATTACACATAGGACACTAGAAGGACATTGGCATCCTGGCAACATAATACCTTTTTTTGCCATCTTGGTCAGGAAAGCTTTCATTCTAGAAACTGATGAAATATTGTACAAAACAATGCATATGTGATTAATAGACTATATGGGGTAGGGGGTGAATTAATAGAAAAAAGGGGAGAGAACACAATAATTGCAATCAAGTAAGTAAGCTAAAACTGTTCACAACAAAATATATATATATATTTATATTACACACACAACCGGTCAAAAGTTTTAGAACACCACCTACTCATTCAAGGGTTTCTTAATTTTTTACTATTTTCTATATTGTAGAATATAGCTCAAATAAGCAAAGAGAAACAACAGTCCATCATTACTTTAAGACATGAAGGTCAGTCAATACGGAACATTTCAAGAACTTTGAAAGTTTCTTCAAGTGCAGTCGCAAACACCATCAAGCGCTATGATGAAACTGGCTCTCATGAGGACCACTACAGGAATGGAAGACCCAGAGTTACCTCTGCTGCAGAGGATACGTTCATTAGAGTTACCAGCCTCAGAAATTGAAACCAAAATAAATGCTTCATAGTTCCAAGTAACAGACACATCTCAACATCAACTGTTCAGAGGAGACTGTGTGAATCAAGCCTTCATGGTCAAATTGCTGCAAATAAACCACTACTAAAGGACACCAATAAGAAGAAGAGATTTGCTTAGGCCAAGAAACACGAGCAATGGACATTAGACCGGTGGAAATGTGTCCTTTGGTCTGGAGTCCAAATTGGAGATTTTAGTGTGTAAGGGCTATTTTACCAAGAAGGAGAGTAAGGGAGTGCTGCATCAGATGACCTGGCCTCCACAATCCCCTGACCTCAACCCAATTGAGATGGTTTGGGATGAGTCGGACGGCAGAGTGAAGGAAAAGCAGCCAACAAGTGCTCAGCATAGGTGGGAACTCCTTCAAGACTGTTGGAAAAGCATTCCAGGTGAAGCTGGTTGAGAGTATGCAAAGCTGTCATCAAGGCAAAGGGTGGCTATTTGAAGAATTTCAAATATAAAATATATTTTGATTTGTTTAACACTTTTTTGGTTACTACATGATTCCATATGTGTTATTTCATAGTTTTGAGGTCTTCACTATTATTCTACAACGTATAAAATAGTAAAAATAAAGAAAAACCCTTGAATGAGTAGGTGTTCTAAAACGTTTGACCGGTAGTGCGCGCGCACACAGCATTTTTCCACATTTTGTTACTTTACAGCCGTATTCTAAAATTGATTAAATTAATTTTGTTTCTCATCAATCTAAACAATATACCCCATAATGACAAAGTGAAAATAGTTTTGTTTGACATTTTTGCAAATAAAAAAACAGAAATACCTTATTTAGATAAGTATTCAGACCCTTTGCTATGAGACTCGAAATTGAGCTCAGGTGCATCCTGTTTCCATTGATCATCCTTCAGATGTTTCTACAACTTGATTGGAGTCCACCTGTGGTAAATTCAATTGATTGGACATGATTTGGAAAGGCACACACCTGTCTATATAAGGTTCCACAGTTTACAGTGCATGTCAGAGCGAAAAGCAAGCCATGAGGTCAAAGGAATTGTACGTAGAGCTCCGAGACAGGATTGTGTCGAGTCACATATCTGGGGAAGGGTACCAAAACATTTCGGCAGCATTTAAGGTCCCCAAGAACACAGTGGCCTCCATCATTCTTAAATGGAAGAAGTTTGGAACAACCAAGACTTTTCCTAGAGCTGACCGCCCGGCCAAACTGAGAAATCAGGGGAGAAGGGCCTTCGTCAGGGAGGTGACCAAGAACCCGATGGTCACTCTGACAGAGCTCCAAAGTTCCTCTGTGGAGATGCAGCACTCCACCAAATCAGACATTTATGGTAGAGTGGCCAGATGGAAGCCACTCCTCAGTAAAAGGCACATGACAGCCCGCTTGGAGTTTGCCAAAAGGCACCTAAAAGACTCTCAGACCATGAGAAACAAGATTCTCTGGTCTGATTAAATCAAGATTGAACTCTTTGGCCTGAATGCCAAGCGTCACGTCTGGAAGAAACCTGGCACCATCCCTACGGTGAAGTATGGTGGTGGCAGCATCATGCTGTGGGGATGTTTTTCAGTGGTAGGGACTGGGAGACTAGTCAGGATCGAGGGAAAGATGAACGGAGCAATGTACAGAGAGATCCTTGATGAAAACCTGCTCTAGAGCGCTCAGGACCTCAGACTGGGGCGAAGGTTCACGTTCCAACAGGACAACAACCCTAAGCACATTGCCAAGACAACGCAGGAGTCGCTTCAGGATAAGTCTCTGAATGTCCTTGAGTGGCCCAGCCAGAACCCGGACTTGAACCAGATCGAACATCTCTGGAGAGACCTGAAAATAGCTGTGACGCTCCCCATCCAACCTGACAGAGCTTGAGAGGATCTGCAGAGAAACTCCCCAAATACAGGTGTGCCAAGCTTGTAGCGTCACACCCAAGAAGACTCAAGGCTGTATTCTCTGCCAAAGGTGCTTCAACAAAGTACTGAGTAAAGGGTCTGAATACTCATGTAAATGTGATATCAGGTTGTTTGTTTTATGATAAATGTACAAAAAATTCTAAAACCTGTTTTTGCATTGTCATTATGGGGTATTGTGTGTAGATTGATGAGGAAAATAAACAATTTAATCAATTTTAGAATAAGGCTGTAACGTAACAAAATGTGGACAAAGTTAAGGGGTCTGAATTCCGAATGCACTGTATACACACACACAGAAATCTTCCTACCTGAATTTGGCTGTCTCAGGCTCCATCTCCAACAGCTCCCGCACTGGAGAGCGAGGGACATTAGCCGAGAATTTCTCTGCGAGGGAAAATAAAAACGTTATAACACAAACCCTCATCTTTTTAACTCCTCAATATGATGCATCACTGGGAGAGACAAATATGAGAACATTAATATTTAGTAAATCATTCGAACTAAAAGCCTCCTGCATGAACTGCCAAACAATCAGAAAATAGGAAATTAAAACGTGGGAGAAGTTTCTCTCCGTTTCTCTCCTCTTACCTATAAGTGGCCTCATCATTGGATAATACACTTGCCACACTGTCTCCAGTGACATCCTGCTATCCATGTAAATTGCTCCGGCTAGTGACTCAAATATGTCTCCCATTGCCTTGGGGACCTCAATGTCCTCCTCTTTCGCCTCGTCTTCCTCTGAGCGCCGCAGCTGAAAGAAAGGGGGAATAACAGATGACGCAAAAAAATATGTTGTTAAGGTGGGGGAAAATGTTATCTCGAGTGGATTTAATGTTTTGCTCTAGTATGGCAGCTTTCTAATAACTCGGACTGAACATTGTCACCCATTTGATATGATATTCAAATCTACTAACAAATGTGCTAAGAAAAAAGTAAATGTTAGCTTTAGAGTGAATTTAGCATTTTCCTTTGGAAAGTGAATATCTGAGGAAAGAAATATCCATTACACTCCTCATTTTCTGTATAGTCCTACATCGACATATTACCGTACACATTTAGTCTGCAAGCTTTAATAGCTCAAGACAAGTGTTGAATTCAAGTAATACAAGTATTAAACTGTATTAAAAAGCTCCAATGAAACAGTTTTTACCTCAATATTAAATCATTTCAGGGTAACAATGAAGTACCTTACTGTGATTGTTTTAAAACTTCAAAACTTAGCTTCTTAGCGAAGAGCAATTTCTCAAGAAATAATTTTGCTAGGGCTGTCTGGGAGTGGTCTGAGTAAAGTGGGAAACTGAAAATTAGCTGTTGTTGGCAGAGAGGTTTGGAAGTCTTTCTTATTGGTCTATTAACTAATTTACCACCTGATGTCACCAGGCAGACCAAAACTCCATCTCACCAAAACAGGCTGAAATTTCAGATGGTATTTTCAAACAGCTCTTACACTAAAAGGGCATTATCATAATTTTCCATTTCACAGTATTATTCCAAACTCTGTGTGGAAATGTATATAAAACACAGGAAAATCACATTTTTGATTAAAGTTATTACTGTATTAAGTTTAATACCAAATACAAAGTCAGCTGTACCCTCACACACTCTGGAGACCCAGAGACCCCGCCGTCCAGTTGTGCTATTAAGGGAAATATTTCCTCTTTACTGTATCCAAAGTTGTCCCTTGGGCATAAAACCAGCTCTGCTCAAACGAGATCTGATTCACTGCCAAGATAGGCATTTCATTCTTTTTTTAAATCCAACTGTCTTTCTTTTCTTTCTTTTTTATACTGAAAACTCACAAATCTAAATCTAAAACAGATTCATATGAACTGACAGCCTGTGTTTTGGGACTTTTTTGTTAAGGGCAGAAAAAACATGATTATGTCCCACAAAACATATTTAAAATGTTAGTAATTATCAACAAGGCCAAAAGCTATCATTATGTCTCTGCAAAGATTTCTTGGTGGACATATACACTGGGGTATGCTGGGAAAATTGGGAACAGCAGAACAAGAGAAGTACAACAGATGTACACCCACTACGACAAACAAACACCCGAAAACACACGTAACTTTTGTTCCACATCCATAAAGCACCAGTAAATACACTACTACAACAAACACACTTCTTCACCAAGGATGCGTCCCAAATGGCACCCTGTTCCTTATATAGTGCACCTTCTACAGGGAGCCATTTGAGATGCAATCAAACTTCACAATCCCGGGGATGGGACCACCTAACCCTAAACCCACCTCAGAGTCCATGCCTTGCATCTCGTTCTTCTCCAGCTGGAATTGCACAAAGTCGTCGATGACGTGAAACAGCTCGGGCGACACAGCCTTGAAGTACTTGTGGAAGTCGTACTGGACGGCCAGGGAGGCGAAGATGGTGTTGTTGACCAACGCCGAGCGCAGGTCTGTGAGCACGCCGGGAGAGTGTTGGCGCGGGTCTTCATAAAGGTGCTTCGTTATGAGGTAGTCTAAAATTGCATCGCCAAGAAACTCAAGTCTCTGGTAACAATCTGGGAAAGAGAGAAAATGAGGGAGGGAGGGGGGATGGAGAGGAAGTATGAGGGAGAGGAAGTGTCAATCATTTTACAATGTAACAAAATTATATTAGAGGCTGGAATCAAGTTTTTACTCAGTTTTTAGAAACAATGCAATCTTATGTGTTCCTTCATTAGGATGAATCTATTTTGAATTAGATTCCGTAGGAAACTCATGCTTACCTGTAATGGTGTTGTAATGGTAGGAGGCGTGAGTGAAGGCCTGCAGCAGGTAGGCCTTGTTCTGGAAGGTGTAGCAGATCTTCCTCTCAAAGTTCTCAAAGCCGGAGATGAGGTGGTTGAGGGTGCGCTCGGCGTCCGGGTGGTCGAAGATACAGCGGGGTGGGATCTTCAGCCAGCCATACTGGAGGTCAAGGTTGGCGACCTCTGTGACCCCGCCCTTCTCCTTCAGCCTCCTCCTCTCCACCGGTAACACCTGTTTCATGGTAGATTGTATTACTTAGTTATGCTTCATAGGTCACATAGTTGCTTTGGATAAAAGCGTCTGCTAATAATCATCATCAGCGTGATGACACACAACATGACCAGTCAAAACAGTATCACAGGCATCAATCACCTTGAGGAACATTATGACTAGTCTAATAGATTAGAGTCTACATTAACACAACAGTAGAGTTAGTTTAATAGATTATAGTCTACATTAACACAAAAGCAGAGTTAGTTTAATAGATTAGAGTCTACATTAACACAACAGTAGAGTTAGTTTAATAGATCAGTCTACATTAACACAACAGTAGAGTTAGTTTAATAGATTAGAGTCTACATTAACACAACAGTAGAGTTAGTTTAATAGATCAGTCTACATTAACACAAAAGCAGAGTTAGTTTAATAGATTAGAGTCTACATTAACACAACAGTAGAGTTAGTTTAATAGATTAGAGTCTACATTAACACAACAGTAGAGTTAGTTTAATAGATCAGTCTACATTAACACAACAGTAGAGTTAGTTTAATAGATTAGAGTCTACATTAACACAACAGTAGAGTTAGTTTAATAGATCAGTCTACATTAACACAACAGTAGAGTTAGTTTAATAGATCAGTCTACATTAACACAACAGTAGAGTTAGTTTAATAGATCAGTCTACATTAACACAACAGTAGAGTTAGTTTAATAGATTAGAGTCTACATTAACACAACAATAGAGTTAGTTTAATAGATTAGAGTCTACATTAACACAACAAGAGTTAGTTTAATAGATTAGAGTCTACATTAACACAACAGTAGAGTTAGTTTAATAGATTAGAGTCTACATTAACACAACAGTAGAGTTAGTTTAATAGATTAGAGTCTACATTAACACAACAGTAGAGTTAGTTTAATAGATCAGAGTCTACATTAACACAAAAGCAGAGTTAGTTTAATAGATTAGAGTCTACATTAACACAACAGTAGAGTTAGTTGAATAGATCAGTCTACATTAACACAACAGCAGAGTTAGTTTAATAGATTAGAGTCTACATTAACACAACAGTAGAGTTAGTTTAATAGATCAGTCTACATTAACACAACAGTAGAGTTAGTTTAATAGATCAGTCTACATTAACACAACAGTAGAGTTAGTTTAATAGATCAGTCTACATTAACACAACAGTAGAGTTAGTTTATTAGATTAGAGTCTACATTAACACAACAGTAGAGTTAGTTTAATAGATTAGAGTCTACATTAACACAACAGTAGAGTTAGTTTATTAGATTAGAGTCTACATTAACACAACAGCAGAGTTAGTTTAATAGATCAGTCTACATTAACACAACAGTAGAGTTAGTTTAATAGATTAGAGTCTACATTAACACAACAGTAGAGTTAGTTTAATAGATCAGTCTACATTAACACAACAGCAGAGTTAGTTTAATAGATTAGAGTCTACATTAACACAACAGTAGAGTTAGTTTAATAGATTAGAGTCTACATTAACACAACAGTAGAGTTAGTTTAATAGATTAGAGTCTACATTAACACAACAGTAGAGTTAGTTTAATAGATCAGAGTCTACATTAACACAACAGTAGAGTTAGTTTAATAGATTAGAGTCTACATTAACACAACAGTAGAGTTAGTTTAATAGATTAGAGTCTACATTAACACAACAGTAGAGTTAGTTTAATAGATCAGTCTACATTAACACAACAGTAGAGTTAGTTTAATAGATTAGAGTCTACATTAACACAACAGTAGAGTTAGTTTAATAGATCAGTCTACATTAACACAACAGTAGAGTTAGTTTAATAGATCAGTCTACATTAACACAACAGTAGAGTTAGTTTAATAGATCAGTCTACATTAACACAACAGTAGAGTTAGTTTAATAGATTAGAGTCTACATTAACACAACAATAGAGTTAGTTTAATAGATTAGAGTCTACATTAACACAAAAGTAGAGTTAGTTTAATAGATCAGTCTACATTAACACAACAGTAGAGTTAGTTTAATAGATTAGAGTCTACATTAACACAACAGTAGAGTTAGTTTAATAGATCAGTCTACATTAACACAACAGCAGAGTTAGTTTAATAGATTAGAGTCTACATTAACACAACAGTAGAGTTAGTTTAATAGATCAGTCTACATTAACACAACAGCAGAGTTAGTTTAATAGATTAGAGTCTACATTAACACAACAGTAGAGTTAGTTTAATAGATTAGAGTCTACATTAACACAACAGTAGAGTTAGTTTAATAGATCAGTCTACATTAACACAACAGCAGAGTTAGTTTATTAGATTAGAGTCTACATTAACACAACAGTAGAGTTAGTTTAATAGATTAGAGTCTACATTAACACAACAGTAGAGTTAGTTTAATAGATCAGTCTACATTAACACAACAGTAGAGTTAGTTTAATAGATCAGTCTACATTAACACAACAGCAGAGTTAGTTTAATAGATTAGAGTCTACATTAACACAACAGTAGAGTTAGTTTAATAGATCAGTCTACATTAACACAACAGCAAAGTTAGTTTAATAGATTAGAGTCTACATTAACACAACAGTAGAGTTAGTTTAATAGATCAGTCTACATTAACACAACAGTAGAGTTAGTTTAATAGATTAGAGTCTACATTAACACAACAGTAGAGTTAGTTTAATAGATTAGAGTCTACATTAACACAACAGCAGAGTTAGTTTTAAAGATCAGTCTACATTAACACAACAGCAGAGTTAGTTTAATAGATTAGAGTCTACATTAACACAACAGCAGAGTTAGTTTAATAGATCAGCCTACATTAACACAACAGTAGAGTTAGTTTAATAGATCAGAGTCTACATTAACACAACAGTAGAGTTAGTTTAATAGATTAGAGTCTACATTAACACAACAGTAGAGTTAGTTTAATAGATTAGAGTCTACATTAACACAACAGTAGAGTTAGTTTATTAGATTAGAGTCTACATTAACACAACAGTAGAGTTAGTTTAATAGATTAGAGTCTACATTAACACAACAGTAGAGTTAGTTTAATAGATTAGAGTCTACATTAACACAACAGTAGAGTTAGTTTAATAGATCAGTCTACATTAACACAACAGTAGAGTTAGTTTAATAGATCCGTCTACATTAACACAACAGTAGAGTTAGTTTAATAGATCAGTCTACATTAACACAACAGTAGAGTTAGTTTAATAGATCCGTCTACATTAACACAACAGTAGAGTTAGTTTAATAGATTAGAGTCTACATTAACACAACAGTAGAGTTAGTTTAATAGATCAGTCTACATTAACACAACAGTAGAGTTAGTTTAATAGATTAGAGTCTATATTAACACAACAGTAGAGTTAGTTTAATAGATCAGTCTACATTAACACAACAGTAACAGCAGAGGTAGACGATAGAGAGATGTGGTGTATCTGAGGCCATACCTTGAGTCCCAGTGAGCAGAGGAACATCTGAGCAGCCCTCTCCCCACAGCTGGTGAGATAGCAGCCCAGCAGGGCCTCCACACAGTCAGCGATGCTCTTGTCAGCGATGCACTGCTCCGTGTGCAGGTCATAGGAGATGGACTGTTTCCCCAGCTCCGCCCCGCAGTTCTCCTCCGACGGGTTCCAGAAACCCACCACGAAATCATCCTCCTCCCCCGCCTTACTAGGGTCCAGGTAACACATGGCGTCCCACGAGCTGAAATCATTCACAATCATTTGACATGTCTACTTATTGATTAAGTGGTATGCCAATCGGTTGTGTACAAGTCATTAATGCACTGTCCATAAATTTAGGTACAATATATATTTTTACCTGTGTGTTATATATTGCAAGACATCGCATTTTATGTATGATTCTGCATATGTACCAAGATGTTCAAATAAACATCATCGATTGTATTAATATAGCGCTTTTCCCCCTAGGTGCTCAGGTACGACTTTACATGGGATTGGGGGCAACTCACCTGTAGTCAAACTCATCTGCTGAGCCACCACCGCTAGGCTCTGAGGGGTAGTGGGGGGTGGGGACCGGGACAGGTTTCTTGGGGGGTTTCCACTCCCCGTAGCTGGGCTCAGCTGCAGGGGAGGAGGAGCAGGCAGAGGGGCTGGGGCTTCGGCCAGGGGTGGCGGGGGCGGGGGCGGGGGCAGGGGCAGGGGGGAAGGTACCAAGGGAAATCTTCTTGCCAAAGGCACCGGAGCCAATGAGCATGTTGTCGATGAACTTGATGTGCTCCTGGTAGTAGGAATGAGTTAATCAATTAGTCGATCGAGGACATCTTCATCGATTAGAAAATAACACATTTAAATGACATTTTCCATAGCTGAAAAGACAAATTTGTTTAAATAAACTACATTGTCTTTTGATACAGCTTTTCTCCATGCAATAAATAAGTAATGTGTCTGGTATGCAGGCATTCATACCTCTTACTATATATAGTATTTGTTTTAAAAAACTAACTCAAAACAATTCTTATTTAGTCACATATAGTTTACAGCAGGTATAAAAAGGTGCAGCCAAATGCTTATGTGCTAGCTCCCTCAATGCAGAACATCAATCAATATCAACATTAACAATACAAGAGTCAACTTCAATTAATCACCATCAACCAATCCCAAATGGCACCCTATTCCCTATGTAGTGCACTACTTTTGACCAGAGCTCTATGCGCCCGGGACAAAAGTAGTGCACTATATAGGGAATAGGGTGCCATTTGTGATTGTCTTGAACTCCTCCCTACATGGTAGTACTCCAGGTCGTCCTCCACGTTGACCTCGTCTTTAGGCTCCTTCCACATCAGATCTTCATCCTCCTCCAGAACCTCCTCCCCTAGCTCCTCCACAAACAACTCCTCTCCAGCACTACCGTTGGCCAAGAGGTCCTGTTTGGCCTGAGAGAGAGCGACAGAGCGAGAGGATGACAAGAGAAAGAGAGAGAAAGAGAGAGAGAAGATAAAATGGATGGGTTACTATGTGAACTGTGTTAATGTCTTATTATCCACCATCTTTAAACGCACCGCAGCATTAGATCTTTGGATGTGAGATGGGAGGCAGCCCTTTCCAACTCAATGACTCATAGACCTAATGTAATTCAATATCTGACAAGCTTCGTCCTGAATGGTACATTTATAATAATTAATAACCCATAAAGTTGACCGTGTGGGAAGTTCTCTGATGCATATTCATTAAATGCTAATGGATCTGACATGTAACATTGTAATAATAGTCAGACCCTGAAGCTGCACACACCACTCACTCTCTGTTACACACCACTCACTCTCTGTTACACACCACTCACTCTCTGTTACACACCACTCACTCTCTGTTACACACCACTCACTCTCTGTTACACACCACTCACTCTCTGTTACACACCACTCACTCTCTGTTACACACCACTCACTCTCTGTTACACACCACTCACTCTCTGTTACACACCACTCACTCTCTGTTACACACCACTCACTCTCTGTTACACACCACTCACTCTCTGTTACACACCACTCACTCTCTGTTACACACCACTCACTCTCTGTTACACACCACTCACTCTCTGTTACACACCACTCACTCTCTGTTACACACCACTCACTCTCTGTTACACACCATTCACTCTCTGTTACACACCACTCACTCTCTGTTACACACCACTCACTCTCTGTTACACACCACACACACACAGCAAATGTAGACTTGAAAACACAACAACGGTTGACCTCAGTTTCCTCAGACACACACCTCCCTGACTCTAGTCTCTGGCTAACTGGCCAGTCTCCAACTATACCCACAACAACCCACATCACCCTGAACCGTTTCCTACCCTGTTGTTGTTGTCATACTTAGCCTAACCCATGCTGCATTTGAGGTATTTGATTCATGAAAACAATCATCTTTAGCTACAGTCATCTTTAGCTACAGTCATCTTTAGCTACAGTCATCTTTAGCTGTCATGTGGAGAATGTATAAGAATGTGCAAGCTGCAACAACAAGAGATTAAATAGTAATTCATGTACTGTTTATCTAGCATACCCACATACCATTTATTGACAATCTCCTTCAGTATCATATGGAGGAAATGCTGCCTACCAGTTGATGCATACCAGTAAGTTGAAAGCCTACCAGTTGATGTATACCAGTAAGGTATAGGCCTGCCCTCTAGTGGCCAAGTCAGGAGAAGACCAGTGAGTGATGAATGGGGTAGGAAGGCTCATGCAAGACAAACTTCACAAGGCAAATGAACACACACACACACACACACAAACGCGCACGCCCACAAACACACACACAGCATCACGTACCTCATCCTCGTCCCATTTGTCTTCGCTGCTCTTGTCCTGGTTTACCACGTAGCCAGGAGGCAGCCAGTTGACCGGCGGGTCAAAGATGGACACCACCATCCTGCTAGGAAGACCTTTCTTCTTCCCCAGACGATACAGGTTACAGTTGCTCACCTGTTAAACACAAATTAACTATTAAATTCACACCATTCCTCACATACATCATCTGTATACTTTCTAAGAATACATTAGGTGAAACATGTAGGCCTTTGTGACAAAACGTACAGTAAAACAAAGAATAACAAACAAACGCTCATACAAAAAAATAGGCAAACACAACGCATTCCATTGACAAACATTCAAGCCAAACCCTATGTAGGCCCTGATCAAAAGTAGTGCACTATAAAGGGAATTGGCCCTCCTGTAGCTCAGTTGGTAGAGCATGGCGCTTGCAACGCCAGGGTTGTGGGTTCGTTTCCCACGGGGGGGGCCATTATGAAAAATGTATGCATTCACTAACTAAGCCGCTCTGGATAAGAGCATCTGCTAAATGACTAAAATGTAAATAGGGTGCCGTTTGGGACGTAAGCGAAGACTCAGTCGTCCCCCTCACCCCTTCCTTAGGCTCACCTTCTTGCTCCTCATGTAGGAGAGTCGTCCCTCATGTGCGTCGGGGTAGGTACAGAACAGGTAGGTGGTGATGGCGTGCTTCAGGAACGAGTCTCCCAGCATCTCCAGACGCTCCAGGTTGAAGCCGTCACTGGCGTTGGACAGGGTCAGGGCCTGCAGAACAATTAAAAGAAAGATTCAATTAAAACTTAAGGTGAGTGCTGCTCTTTTTTTCATGTTTGACTTTAATCTATTTTTTGTTGAGGGCTTGAAGGTAGGAATCAAACATTGAAAACACATTTAAGGGATATTTTGAATTGCTGGACAGAGATTTAAGTTTAAATAAACATGATTCTGTGTTGATTCTAAATATGTGGCTTTTCTCCCCCACAACAGACATGTAAGCATATGTCTAGTATGCAGCATCCATGTGCACATCTAAGTATATTTTGATAGGAAATCTGATATTTATTAGTTCAATTAAATCGACCCAACTCTGAAAAACTTATTGAACCCATCCCTACCTGAAGGATGAGACCAGGGTTGGGCCCCAGGGTCTTGGGGCAGGGGCCAATGGTATCACCCCCGACAGAGCTACTGGTGGTGATCTCCTGGGTCTCTAGGGCCTCTGAGGGGTCAGGTAAAGGTGCTGTGGTGATGGGAGTGGTGCCGGCGGGCACCGTCACTGTTGCTGGGCTGCAGCAGTCTGAGGTAGCTTGATTCACGTGGTGTCCGTCGCCCTCACGGAGCTCTGAGGTCCTCCCTGGTCTACATTCATCGCTAGGCTGGAGCTGAGGGGGTTGAAGCTGGGTCCCTGGTTGGGTCTGAGGGGGTTGAGGCTGGGTCCCTGGCTGGGGCTGAGGGGGTTGAAGCGGGGGCTGAGAGGGTTGAGGCTGGGTCCCTGGCTGGAGCTGAGGGGGTTGAGGCTGGGTCCCTGGCTGGGGCTGAGGGGGTTGAGGCTGGGTCCCTGGCTGGGGCTGAGGGGGTTTAGGCGGGGGCTGAGGCTGGGCCTGTGGCTGGGGCTGAGGGGGTTGAGGCTGGGGCTGAGGGGACTGAGGCTGGGCCTGTGGCTGGGGCTGAGGGGGTTGAGGCTGGGGCTGAGGGGACTGGGGCTGAGGAGGTTGAGGCTGAGTCCGGGGCTGAGGGGGTTGAGGCTGGGTCCGGGGCTGGGTCCGTGGCTGGGGCTGAGACTGGGTCCGGGGTGGTGTTGGGGTTAGATTCTGGTTCTTGATGCTAAGAGAGGGCTGAACAGGAAGAACTGAGGTAGTGGTTTGTGTTGTTGTTGACACTTCTTTTTCAGTCTCCAGTGGCAAGCCAGAACCAGCCGGGAGGCATTGGCAGTTGTCACGTCCGTTGTGAAGGTGTGCGTGGTCACTGTTGTCATTGGCAAATGGGGCAGTGCCGTTAGTGAGGATGCTGGTGCAGGAGGCGGAGTCTGGCTGCTCCTCCTCTGGTCTGTCATCTTCGGGGTGTTGGCCGACGTCGTCCCCCTCAGGCCGCGAGGAGACATGACAGTCACTACAGGGTTGCTGGGAAACAGCAGCAGCAAGGCCAGGGTCAGTGGCTACAGTCTGGCCCTGTTGTTTACAGTTATCGTCACCGCTGTCCTCTTCCTCCTCCTCCTCTTCCTCATCACGCAGACAGATGAATGACTTACTGTCGATGGACTTCTTCCATCCAAAGTCCAGGTTTGGATATCTATAAAGACCAATACCGTGTAAGATTTAGGGGCAGTGTGTAATGTTGGAGTGTTATTATCCAACATCCAAACATCAAGTAGCAATTAGATTTAAAGGGATAGTTCTAGGGCTGTCCCCGTCTAAAATAAAATTGAATTGTCCTGTTCTTTCGACCAATCAATTATAAAATCAGACGCACCCTATGTGTTTGAATAAAAACCAACTACATATGCACTGAGCTTGTCTGATGCTTTAAGCATACTGTTTGATTAAATCAATAAGAAACACAAATGACTCAAGAAAGTGCCCGATGGTCACACTGTTTAAAAAATTATAATTACAGCGAGTGCCTGTGTGACTGGCGCACGTTGTCTCGCTCTCCTCCCTACTGCAGCGAAAAGGCACCACAGCACAGGAAGTGTTTATTGCGTTGTCCGTGCTGAAGCTGCAACATCATTTCAGCTATTTCGTTTACTTGTTTCTGATTGAAAATCCCTAATTTGTTTAGGAAAAACATTCCCTATTCCCTCAACCCTTACTCTCTTTACGTGAAACATGTAAGCATCGCATGCGACCAAGAGGACCTATAGCCTATCATAATCGCATCAATAAATTGGTTAGAACAAACTCCGAACACAGTAATGACGACAGCAAAATGGATGCGGAGGACGTGAAAAAAGAACTAGAAACGGGCGAATGTTTACTGGTTGCTCAGGAGGGAAAGGGGAAGTCAAATGTGTGGAAGACATTTGACTTAGTTGTGGAAACTACTTGAGATCAAGAAAAAGGAGGGTATAGGAGCAAGCACTGCGTGAGTAGTGTGTGCCAAACAGTTGCTGTTAGATTACAATATTATTATTTTCTGACCATTTGGAATAGTGTAAACAACACTAAATAAATAAGTGTACCAGGGAGTCTGTTCTAACGAAAATAATAATAATATATAAAGCCTTTATTACAGCAGACTAAAAATAGTTGCACGCAGTCCTGAATTGCGGTTTATTTATTGTTTAGGCTAATTATTCAAAGCTCCCTTTGTTATATAATATCAAAACTAAAATGCTTGATTGCATTCCAAAGCATGAATGTTTCGTATGCTGTGTGAGGGCATGAATGAATGATTGATTGATTGATTGATTGATTGATTGATACAGTAGCCTATATATTAAATTATAGGCCTAAGTAAGTTACGGTATTAAGACTAAACAGGATGTGCTCTTAGGCCTACAGCTTGATGGTGGTTATACAAGACTACTCTACAAAGCCTACTAATGATAACGACATTACTTATTATTATTATAATTATGATCATAATAATAACTAATAAGAACAATATGAAGGAGATATAGAGAAAGTAGGGTATAGGAGCGAGAGCTGTGTGCATACTATGTGTGACAAACAGGTGCTGTTAGATTACAATATCGTTTTTCTGCCTGTTTGGAACAGTGTAAACAACACTAAATACATTAATAAGTAATACCAGTCTGTTCTAACGAAAACAAATTGTGAAGCCTTTATTACAGCATAGAAAAGATTAAAAACAGCAGAATCTGTGAAATTGCTTTATCCGACATTGCTGTTGCATGAGGCTTCATGGTCACTGAATCAGTAGGCTATTAAACAAACACTCAAACAGGCAACAGAAGCAGCATCTGTCTTATTTCTGTAGATATATATGGATGATTTATAAAGCCAGGCACATTTAACAGTTAGGCTATTGATTATAGAACTAATTAAGTTGGGGTTTGCCCTCTCCTCAATTTTCTTAGACAATTAGGCTAAGCCCTATTCCCACGGGACTAGTATTACTAGAGAACATTGGTTATGTAATTATTACCTCAGAATGTCTTATTTCAGCGGACGATTCAAACAGGAGTAGTTTTTTTTTCAAACTGCCCCGTAATTTTCTTTTTTTCCAAAAAATTGACAGTTATGACGGAAGCCTGGATATTTTTTTCTAGGCGTGAAGATATTTCAACAAGTCCAGGTGATAACATGGCTACACTGATAACTCGAGCTTGGTTCCTGAGTTTCTAAACCATCTTTGGTAAAGTGTCACCATAATATTTGAATTGAGGAAGTGTGATCATAATCATTAGGATATTTTAGCGATCCCCAGTAGACGTCCTAAATATCCCCCGGCCTTCAGATGTGAGCTGTGAGAGCCGGAATTCTTACTGGTTGGTAGGTGATCAAATACTTATGTCATGAAATAAAATGCAAATTCATTACTTAAAAATCATACAATGTGATTTTCTGGATTTTTGTTTTAGATTCCGTGTCTCACAGTTGAGGTGTACCTATGATAAAAATTACAGACCTCTACATGCTTTGTAAGTAGGAAAACCTGCAAAATCGGCAGTGTATCAAATACTTGTTCTCCCCACTGTACATACATACATACACATCCTTTAAAAAATATATATATATATATATATATATATATATATATATATATATATATATATATATATATATATATATATATATATATATATTCCCCTTTATTGCTTTCCAACCCCACCACCCTTTCCCTACTTGGAGTAAACTAGAGGCTTAGGCCTCTACTTCCAGCTTATACCTACTATCTACATTTTATGGACACAGTCAATTTTACAATAATTATATTTTGTTTGTTTTTTCTCCTGAACTTCCTCTACTCTCAACCTCTCCGATCATTTTCATGATTTCCATCCGGTTTGCTTCTATCTGCCATATCTTTCTAACTGTGCTCTTTCACAAAAGCTCCCAACCTACAACCTATATACTTATTATGGACACAGTATGCTTACATTATTAGTTATCTTGTTATTATTTGTTGTTAGTTGTTATTAGTCCCATCCTTCAATTCCATTCAACCCCTCCCATCTATCTTTTAACACCATCCATATAGGATTTCTATTTGCCATATATATTTCAACTGTACTGTGATATCTTACAAAAGTTCTGAACCTTTCTATTCTCATTGTTTCTACAGATTGTGAATTGAAAATAAACATTTTTGCTAAAAGTATTATAATATTATTGATTGATTGACTATGACTTTTCAGATCACCCAGTAATGCTATCTGCAAGGTTAGCTCCAGGTAAATATTGCAATCATTTATCCATTCCTGGACCTGTGTCCAAAAACAAGCTACAAATGGACAGTACCAAAACAAATGATCTAATGATTCTGTCTCTTCGCAGCAAAATCTGCAGAGCTGGGAAGATTGTATCCCCCATATAAATAACATTCTATTGGTAGCAAGAATTGTATATAATAATTTAAATTGAAAGATTATAAGTTTTGAATCCAGTGTCGTTTTGCGTATCAGTTCATAAACACTTATGCCATGGGATCGGTACGACAAAAATCTCTTCAACTATTTTGCAATCTATATGGGAGGGCTGTCAATCCTTTGGTCCTTAAATGAAACTGATATCTTTTTTATTTATCACAGTTTTCCTTAACCAATTATGTTATTTAATGCAAGGCCGACAGACAAGTTCCTTACTTTCTCCTCCTTCCACTTTCCTCTTCAATTTTTGCGGTAAGGCTGCAATTATTTGGTTGTAATTTTGGGTAGAGCAGACATTTCCATATGTTTTTGTTAGCTGCATGTGCGACATAACTCCACCAGTCCTACCGATGATATCATTTACGAAGATTATACCTTTTTTAAACATTTTGTCATTTGAGTTTAACCACAATATTTGTTGCATTATTTGTTCTGTCGTTTCTGGAGGATTAAATTGAAATTGCAACCAACTTTCTATGGCTTGTTTTAGAAATAGTGATATTTGGGAGATTATTTCCTTTTCAAATAACTGAAAGTGAGCGGTTGTAATCTGAATAAAGGGAAAATGCCATTCTTGAACATTGGGTGAGACAATCTTACTAATTTGCTAGAGAACCAGTTCGGATTTAAGTATAACTTTTGTATGACTGAAGCTTTTAGTGATAGGTCTAATGCTTTAACATTTAATAATTTCTGTCCTCCGAATTCATATTCATTATATAAATAGGCCCGTTTAATTTTGTCTGGCTTGCCGTTCCAAATAAAATTGAATATTTTTTTCTCATATAATTTAAAAAACTGTTCGCTAGGTGTAGGCAAGACCATAAGCAAATAGGTAAACTGGGATAATACTAAAGAGTTAATCAGGGTGATTTTTCCACAAATTGACAGGTATTTACCTTTCCATGGTAGCAAGATCTTATCTATTTTTGCTAACTTTCTATTAAAATTTATTGAAGTGAGTTCATTTATTTCCTTTGGGATATGTATTCCGAGTATATCCACATAACCATCAGACCATTTTATTGGTAAACTACATGGTAATGTAAAAATTGTATTTCTTAGTGATCCAATACGTAATATAGTACATTTGTCATAATTTGGTTGTAATCCAGAGAGGTTAGAAAATTTATCTAGATCCTCTATGAGGCTGTGTAGGGATTCTAGCTGTGGATTTAAAAGAAAACATGAATCATCAGCGTACAATGACACCTTTGTTTTTAAGCCCTGGATTTCTAATCCCCTGATATTATTGTTGGATCTGATTTTAATAGCTAACATCTCGATGGCCACAATAAATAGATATGCCGATAGTGGACAACCTTGTTTCACTCCTCTTGACAGTTTAAAACTTTCTGAGAAATAGCCATTATTTACTATTTTACACCTAGGGTTACTATACATGATTTTGACCCATTTTATAAGAGATTCTCCAAAATTGAAATGCTCCAGGCATTTATATATAAACCCCAGTCGAACTTTATCAAATGCCTTTTCGAAGTCTGCTATGAATAGCAGACCTGGTTTCCCAGATTTTCCATAGTGTTCTATTGTTTCCAACACTTGCCTTATATTATCTCCAATGTATCTTCCATGTAAAAAACCTGTCTGATTAGAATGAATAATATCCGACAATACCTTTTTAATTCTATGCGCTATACATTTTGCTAGAATTTTTGCATCACAACACTGAAGTGTAAGGGGCCTCCAATTTTATAAATGGACTGGATCTTTATATTTTCCACTTGTATCCTGTTTCAGTAATAATGAGATCAGACCTTCTTGAGTGTCAGATAATCTACCATTTACATAGGAGTGGTTAAAACATGCTAATAACGGTCCTCTTAGTATATCAAAAAAGGTTTGGTATACCTCGACTGTCTTGATATGTTGCTTCAATATATCCACATCATTTTCCTTCCTCATGATGCCATCTATTTTGTGAAGTGCACCAGTCCCTCCTGCAGCAAAGCACCCCCACAGCATGATGCTGCCACCTCTGTGCTTCACGGTTGGGATGGTGTTCTTCGGCTTGCAAGAACCCCTTTTTCCTCCAAACATAACGATGGTCATTAAGGCCAAACAGTTATATTTTTGTTTCATCAGACCAGAGGACATTTCTCCAAAAAGTACGATATTTGTCCCCATGTGCAGTTGCAAACCGTAGTCTGGCTTTTTTATGGCGGTTTTGGAGCAGTGGCTTCTTCCTTTCAGGTTAAGGTCGATATAGGACTCGTTTTACTGTGGATAGATACTTTTGTACCTGTTTCCTCCAGCATCTTCACAAGGTCCTTGGCTGTTGTTCTGGGATTGATTTGCACTTTTCGCACCAAAGTACGTTCATCTCTAGGAGACAGAACGCGTCTCCTTCCTGAGCGGTATGACGGCTGCGTGGTCCCGTGGTGTTTATACTTGCGTACTATTGTTTGTACAATGAATGTGGAACCTTCAGGCGTTTGGAAATTGCTCCCAAGGATGAACCAGACCTGTGGATGTCTACAATTTCTTTTCTGAGGTCTTGGCTGATTTCTTTTGATTTTCCCATGACGTCAAGCAAAGAGGCACTAAGTTTGAAAGTAGGCCTTGAAATACATCCACAGGTACACCTCCAATTGACTCAAATGATGTCAATAATTTTTTATTTAACTAGGCAAGTCAGTTAAGAACAAATTCTTATTTACAATGACGGCCTACCCCGTCCAAACCTGGACGACGCTGGGCCAATTGTGCGCCGCTCTATGGGACTCCCAATCACGGCCGGATTGTGATACAGCCTGGAATTGAACCAGGGTCTGTAGTGACGCCTCTAGCACTGAGATGCAGTGTCTTAGACCGCTGCGCCACTCGGGGGGCACAATTAGCCTATCAGAAGCTTCTAAAGCCATGACATCATTTTCTTGAATTTTCTAAGCTGTTTAAAGGCACAGTCAACTTAGTGTATGTAAACTTCTGACCCACTGGAATTGTGATACAGTGAATTATAAGTGAAATTATCTGTTTGTAAACAATTGTTGGAAAAATTACTTGTGTCATGAACAAAGTATATGTCCTAACCGACTTCCAAAAAACTATCGTTTGTTAACAAGACATTTGTGGAGTGGTTGAAAAATTAGTTTTAATGACTCCAACCTAAGTGTATGTAAACTTCTGACTTCAACTGTGTGTGTGTGTGTGTGTGTGTATATATATATATATATATATATATATATATATATATATATACACACACACACACACACACATACAGTGGGGAGAACAAGTATTTGATACACTGCCGATTTTGCAGGTTTTCCTACTTACAAAGCATGTAGAGGTCGGTAATTTTTATCATATGTACACTTCAACTGTGAGAGACGGAATCTAAAACAAAAATCCAGAAAATCACATTGTATGATTTTTAAGTAATTCATTTGCATTTTATTGCATAACATAAGTATTTGATACATCAGAAAAACAGAACTTAATATTTGGTACAGAAACCTTTGTTTGCAATTACAGAGATCATACGTTTCCTGTAGGTCTTGACCAGGTTTGCACACACTGCAGCAGGGATTTGGCCCACTCCTCCATACAGACCTTCTCCAGATCCTTCAGGTTTCGGGGCTGTCGCTGGGTAATACGGACTTTCAGCTCCCTCCAAAGATTTTCTATCGGGTTCAGGTCTGGAGACTGGCTAGGCCACTCCAGGACCTTGAGATGCTTCTTACGGAGCCACTCCTTAGTTGCCCTGGCTGTGTGTTTCGGGTCGTTGTCATGCTGGAAGACCCAGCCACGACCCATCTTCAATGCTCTTACTGAGGGAAGGAGGTTGTTGGCCAAGATCTCGCGATACATGGCCCCATCCATCCTCCCCTCAATATGGTGCAGTCGTCCTGTCCCCTTTGCAGAAAAGCATCCCCAAAGAATGATGTTTCCACCTCCATGCTTCACGGTTGGGATGGTGTTCTTGGGGTTGTACACATCCTTCTTCTTCCTCCAAACATGGCGAGTGGAGTTTAGACCAAAAAGCTCTATTTTTGTCTCATCAGACCACATGACCTTCTCCCATTCCTCCTCTGGATCATCCAGATGGTCATTGGCAAACTTCAGACGGGCCTGGATATGCTCTGGCTTGAGCAGGGGGACCTTGCGCACGCTGCAGGATTTTAATCCATGACGGCGTAGTGTGTTACTAATGGTTTTCTTTGAGACTGTGGTCCCAGCTCTCTTCAGGTCATTGACCAGGTCCTGCCGTGTAGTTCTGGGCTGATCCCTCACCTTTCTCATGATCATTGATGCCCCACGAGGTGAGATCTTGCATGGAGCCCCAGACCGAGGGTGATTGACCGTCATCTTGAACTTCTTCCATTTTCTAATAATTGCGCCAACAGTTGTTGCCTTCTCACCAAGCTGCTAGCCTATTGTCCTGTAGCCCATCCCAGCCTTGTGCAGGTCTACAATTTTATCCCTGATGTCCTTACACAGCTCTCTGGTCTTGGCCATTGTGGAGAGGTTGGAGTTTGTTTGATTGAGTGTGTGGACAGGTGTCTTTTATACAGGTAACTTGTTCAAACAGGTACAGGTAATGAATGGAGAACAGGAGGGCTTCTTAAAGAAAAACTAACAGGTCTGTGAGAGCCGGAATTCTTACTGGTTGGTAGGTGATCAAATACTTATGTCATGCAATAAAATGCAAATTAATTACTTAAAAATCATACAATGTGATTTTCTGGATTTTTGTTTTAGATTCCGTCTCTCACAGTTGAAGTGTACCTATGATAAAAATTACAGACCTCTACATGCTTTGTAAGTAGGAAAACCTGCAAAATCGGCAGTGTATCAAATACTTGTTCTCCCCACTGTGTGTGTGTGTGTGTGTGTGTGTGTGTGTGTATATATATATATATATATGATGTATATATATATATATGATGTATGTAAAAAATATATATATGATGTATGTAAACATCCCTGTGTTTTGAGAGAAATGTCTGAGTTTGACCGGTGTTGCTCACAGTTTGAGCAAGAAAACAATAACTGATTCGATAAATTGAATGAAGTGCTGCGCATAGCCTATATATATATATATATATATATATATATATATATATATATATATATATATATATATATATATATATATATATATATATATATATATATATATATAGGCTATGCGCAGCACTTCATTCAATTTATCGAATCAGTTATTGTTTTCTTGCTCAAACTGTGAGCAACACCGGTCAAACTCAGACATTTCTCTCAAAACACAGGGATGTTGAGTTGCACAGTACTAGTATTATCAGAGGACCTTGGAGCTCACCAAAAAACAGTAAGTTACTCTGGCTGGAATTGTTACTCTCCTGTCATGTATAAATTACTGACATGGCAGATTCGGACCGGACTAAAATGACAGAAGTGTTGTTTTGTGTTCGTGCACATAATTACATTACCCGACTCTCCCAGTAAAACAAATCACATCCGAATAGGGTTTAAGGCAAGGGATGTTTCCTCGTCTCTGCTGCTGCTGCCTCCGCCACATTGTTCTCAATCCCAATATACTGGTTCATTTAGCTATTATGCACATAGCAACATAGGGAAAGGTGCCAATTCTACGGCGCACTGAAGATTATGTTTCAGAACGGCAGACAGTGACCATATCCAACGCGGGCGAAAGCGCATTTGTTATAAAATATTAGATTTATTGGTGTTGCACCATTATTTTTACATAATATAACCATATACAATTTCAGTATCACATCTTAAGAGTGATGGACTGTGCCACAATGAATTAGTCCACTGAGACAGGCACGAATCAGACAGGTGTCTTGTACACCATGGTCCCAAAGAATTTGGGGTGACTGATCGACAAAAGAAATCTCGGTCGACCAACAGCCTATCGACCAAACAACCAACCAGTCGACTAAATGGGGTCACCCCTTGATAGTTAATCCAAGTCCAGTCAGGTTTATTTAAAGTGCATTTCACATGGGGGGCCGCCACACACTTTACATCATTAAAGAAAATGGGGATGAGACGTACCTGAAGTCAGAGGGCAGGGTCTGAGCTCCTACTCCAGCGTCGCTGGCCGTCTGGGCCCGCAGCTCCTCGGCTGTGAGCAGGCAGTGAAGGCGATACAGAATGCTGGGGAGACACACAGCCTTCCTCCACAGAGAGGCTGGGATGGGGTGGATGGCACACAGCTCTGGGACCAGGATCTGGAGGAGAGGAGAGGAGGGAGGAAAGAAAAGAGAAATACAAAAATGAGACATTGGTTGAGTCCCAAATGACACTCTGTTCCCTATACAGTGCACTACTTTTGACCAGGGCCCTATGAGTACAGCTGTCCTCCAACATATTCTAATCTAGTTCATTTTCAGCCATAAACCGGTATAGATCCATGGCTCTGTGTGTACACTAGATTACCTGTTTGTTCTGTAGACTCTCCCACTTGGCCTTCCTCTTCTCTGCACTGCTGAGGGGCAGGGCTTTCCCCTTCTGGTTCAGGTGGCGAGGGGTTAACAGGTTCAGGCTACAGGGAGAGGTCAGAGGTCAAACACTGGATGAGTTAAACAGTAGCTCTCAGATACAGTAACCTGTATGGGTGTCAAGGTACAGACAAAGGGTTCATCCCATATCTTTATTCATTTTGATGGCAGTCATGCTCCCCCCACCACCCATGGAGGTTCGAGAGACCGAGATCATCCTTATGATGATAGAGTTGATTAAGATACATTTTCCTCTCTTTCTCTCTCCCTCCATCTCCCTCGCTCTCCATTTCCCTCCCTCGCCCTCTCTCGTCCTCTCTCTCTCACCGTGACGAGGTATGGTCTACGTCTAGTAGTGGCTGGTTTACGTTGGACAGGTCCAGGTTGTACTTGGTTTTGTAGTACTCAGCAAACGTCTGGTACTCCGGCGATGGAAACCTGCTGAGAGGTGTGAGGTCTGTGTAAACGTCAGCCACGTAGAAGCGGTGAGGCTGGTCAAAGTTACGATACCTGAGAGAGAGAGAGACAGGGGTCAAGGTTTGACATAAATGGAACAGTGAAGATATACTTTCAATTCTTTGCTCAAAAATTGTGAGGTGGTTACATCCAAATATGCACCATGATATCTTCAGTTTTTAAAATAATCTTATTATCATATGGATCATATTAAATCTATTGGATGTTGCTTAAACTAAAGATGTGTCCCAAATGGCAGCCTATTCCCTATGGACACTGGTCAAAAGAAGTGCACTATATAGGGAATAGGGTGTTATTTTGAACTTAACCTAAAACTCTATTGGCTCCTCTGTCAGTGAGGGGTATGTAGTGAAGTGAGCAGCGTACCGTGGAATGATGACAGCGTCCTGGTAGTCTTCCAGTTTGAAGGTGAAGGGGTTCTGCTTGGTGTACTGGGTGGTAGGAATGCCAATACGAGCCTCTGACTTCTCTATGTCCTCCATGAATTTAAAGTCCAAATCTAGAGTGTTGGAATCCTCAACTGAAAGAAGAGACAGTGTGTTAGTGAGCTTACATGGCGAGGGAATCATTAGTTATGGCATGAAGAACTAAAAGGACAAAACACACCGGGCCGACTAAAAGTTAAGAGCAGCGGGTAGCAGTCCTATCGACTTTGACAACAACATCGGCCAACATCTTTTGTTAATTTCCCAACAATTCTACATGTTGAATCACTATCGTTGCAGTGTGTTTGGTCCTTAAAAAACAGGGCCTATAGTTTTATGTGTAATGTTGGGCTGTCACTCACCAACATTGACAGGTAGAATGCAGTTGGCTAACTAACTCACCAACCCAGAGGTAGAGCGCAGTAGGCTAACTAACTCACCAACATTGAGAGATAGAACGCAGTAGGCTAACTAACTCACCAACATTGAGAGGTAAAATGCAGTAGACTACCTCACCAACATTGAGAGGTAGAACGCAGTAGGCTATTTAACTCACCAACATTGAGAGGTAGAACACAGTAGGCTATTTAACTCACCAACATTGAGAGGTAGAACACAGTAGACTACCTCACCAACATTGAGAGGTAGAACGCAGTAGGCTATTTAACTCACCAACATTGAGAGGTAGAGCGCAGTAGGCTAACTAACTCACCAACATTGAGAGGTAAAATGCAGTAGACTACCTCACCAACATTGAGAGGTAGAACACAGTAGACTACCTCACCAACATTGAGAGGTAGAACACAGTAGACTACCTCACCAACATTGAGAGGTAGAACGCAGTAGGCTATTTAACTCACCAACATTGAGAGGTAGAGCGCAGTAGGCTAACTAACTCACCAACATTGAGAGGTAAAATGCAGTAGACTACCTCACCAACATTGAGAGGTAGAACACAGTAGACTACCTCACCAACATTGAGAGGTAGAACACAGTAGACTACCTCACCAACATTGAGAGTTAGAACACAGTAGAGTAACTAACTCACCAACATTGAGAGGTAGAACGCAGTAGATTAACTAAGTAACTCACCAACATTGAGAGGTAGAATGCAGTAGACTAACTAACTCACCAACATTGAGAGGTAGAACGCAGTAGATTAACTAAGTAACTCACCAACATTGAGAGGTAGAACGCAGTAGGCTAACTAAGTAACTCACCAACATTGAGAGGTAGAACGCAGTAGGCTAACTAAGTAACTCACCAACATTGAGAGGTAGAACGCAGTAGGCCGAGTCGGCCTGCGTGGGATTGAACTCCAGAGCAGGTTTCTCCAGGCGGAGGATGTGAGAGAATATGTACTGGTGTAGTCTGGTGATCAGGTCCAGTTGGACAGCACTTAGAGTGAACCCAGTCTTCTGGAGCTCCATCGAGATGGTCACCTCGCCAGACCGCGTGTACACAGGAAAGTGGGGGATCTGGGGAGAGGGGGAGGATGGGGTTAGGTAAGTCTCACTGTACCCTTAATAAAAGTGCATACTAACTGTGGAAAAGCAAGGTGGGCCCTGCTGTCTAGCTGTTGCCTCCTAGAATAAATAAGTTCTCTATCCGTTTCAATAGAAACGGAAATGCTTGTTTGCATCCATAAATATTACTTTGAGGACCTGTCAGGAAACAAATCAATGAGAAAGTGATAGGTGTGTTCCTTACCCGAGGTATAGGTTTGGCGGTCAGGATGCCAAAGCACCTGGTAGTGTCCTCTGGAGGGTAGAGCTTCCTGCGCCGGAAGTTGAGCTCATCAGGCAGAGGGGTGGTGAGGACCATGCCGATCACATACAGGTAGTAAGACCGCTCCGGTACAGGGTAACTGTCCCGAAGACACTCTGGTATCTGGAAAGGAGAGAGAGATCATCTAGCTGTTAGATGCTCCAGAAGGAACAGTCAGAGCTGATGGCCCATACGGCACCGGTCAAAAGTAGTGCACTATTGTATATAAGTAATAGGGTGCCATTTGGGATGCATCTAGTGTGGTGACTACTCACAGCTTTAGGGTAGCACTGCCTTCTCTTGGTGGATCCTGGTCTGCCTGGAACACTGGTCTCCTCCTCGTCATGGAGATCCAGTTCCTCCTCATACTTCACTGTCTCTTTCCCCACAGGCATCAAGTGGTCATCCAACTCACCTGTAAAAATACATTTATTGGCACCATTTAACTACTGTACAAACATATGGTCACTGCACAGCAGTTATTACCAGGTCCCCCTCCTCTCCCACCACACACTGAACCCCTTCTCACACCCCAGCAAATTCAGTTACATTCCCACAAGCTTGAAGAGAGCGAGAGGGAGGGAGATTTGAGGGACAGAAAGAGAAATGGGGAGGGAGAGATACAATCAGGGACTAGCTGCAGAGAGCGCTGCATAGCTGAATTTTATTTACCTTTTTTGTGAAGATTTTCACAACAAAGTAGTGCCACTGCCTTCTCTGCCAGTCGTGCACAGTTCATTATTGGCCCCTTCAATGACAAAACAAAGTGTACATTGGTCTCAAAGACATCCATGAAACACATGGTTAGGTGAATCTTGACGTCTCAAATGGAAGAAGTGGATGCTATACATTGGTGGTGGATGAGGTGAGTTTCCCCCCTATGTAGCATACAACAGCTCTTTGTGCACCTGGAAGCACTGTATAATTGTGTCCCAAAAGGCACCCTTTTCCCTATATAGTGCACTACTTTTGACCAGAGCTGGAATATACAGTGCATTCGGAAAGTATTCAGACCCTTCCCTTTTCCACATTTTGTTACGTTACAGCCTTATTCTAAAATGGATTAAATTACACTGCTCAAAAAAATAAAGGGAACACTTAAACAACACAAAGTAACTCCAAGTCAATCACACTTCTGTGAAATCAAACTGTCCACTTAGGAAGCAACACTGATTGACAATACATTTCACATGCTGTTGTGCAAATGGAATAGACAACAGGTGGAAATTATAGGCAATTAGTAAGACACCCCCAATAAAGGACTGGTTTTGCAGGTGGTGACCACAGACCACTTCTCAGTTCCTATGCTTCCTGGCTGATGTTTTGGTCACTTTTGAATGCTGGCGGTGCTTTCACTCTAGTGGTAGCATGAGACGGAGTCTACAACCCACACAAGCGGCTCAGGTAGTGCAGCTCATCCAGGATGGAACATCAATGCGAGCTGTGGCAAGAAGGTTTGCTGTGTCTGTAAGTGTAGTGTCCAGAGCATGGAGGCGCTACCAGGAGACAGGCCAGTAAATCAGGAGACGTGGAGGAGGCCGTAGGAGGGCAACAACCCAGCAGCAGGACTGCTACCTCCGCCTTTGTGCAAGGAGGAGCAGGAGGAGCACTGCCAGAGCCCTGCAAAATGACTTCCAGCAGGCCACAAATGTGCATGTGTCTGCTCAAACGGTCAGAAACAGACTCCATGAGGGTGGTATGAGGGCCCGACGTCCACAGGTGGGGGTTGTGCTTACAGCCCAACACCGTGCAGGACGTTTGGCATTTGCCAGAGAACACCAAGATTGGCAAATTCGCCACTGGCGCCCTGTGCTCTTCACAGATGAAAGCAGGTTCACACTGAGCACGTGACAGACGTGACAGAGTCTGGAGACGCCGTGGAGAACGTTCTGCTGCCTGCAACATCCTCCAGCATGACCGGTTTGGCGGTGGGTCAGTCATGGTGTGGGGTGGCATTTCTTTGGGGGGCCGCACAGCCTTCCATGTGCTCGCCAGAGGTAGCCTGACTGCCATTAGGTACCGAGATGAGATCCTCAGACCCCTTGTGAGACCATATGCTGGTGTGGTTGGCCCTGGGTTCCTCCTAATGCAAGACAATGCTCGACCTCATGTGGCTGGAGTGTGTCAGCAGTTCCTGCAAGAGGAAGGCATTGATGCTATGGACTGGCCCGCCCGTTCCCCAGACCTGAATCCAATTGAGCACATCTGGGACATCATGTCTCGCTCCATCCACCACAGACTGTCCAGGAGTTTGCGGATGCTTTAGTCCAGGTCTGGGAGGAGATCCCTCAGGAGACCATCCGCCACCTCATCAGGAGCATGCCCAGGTGTTGTAGGGAGGTCATACAGGCACGTGGAGGCCACACACACACTACTGAGCCTCATTTTGACTTGTTTTAAGGACATTACATCAACGTTGGATCAGCCTGTAGTGTGGTTTTCCACTTTAATTTTGAGGGTGACTCCAAATCCTGACCTCCATGGGTTGATAAATTTGATTTCCATTGATAATTTTTGTGTGATTTTGTTGTCAGCACATTCAACTATGTAAAGAAAAAAGTATTTAATAAGATTATTTCATTCATTCAGATCTAGGATGTGTTATTTTAGTGTTCCCTTTATTTTTTTGAGCAGTGTATTGAAGCATGGTGGAGGCAGCATCATGCTGTGGAGATGTTTTTCAGCGGCAGGGACTGGGAGACTTGTCAGGATCGAGGGAAAGATGAACGGAGCAATGTACAGAGAGATCCTTGATGAAAACCTGCTCTAGAGCGCTCAGGACCTCAGACTGGGGTGAAGGTTCACCTTCCAACAGGACAACGACCCTAAGCACACAGCCAAGACAACGCAGGAGTGGCTTCAGGAAAAGTCTCTGAATGTCCTTGAGTGGCCCAGCCAGAGCCCGGACTTGAACCCGATCTAACATCTCTGGAGAGACCTGAAAATAGCTGTGCACCGACGCTCCCCATCCAACCTGACTGCAGGATCTGCAGAGAAGAATGGGAGAAACTCCCCAAATACAGGTGTGCCAAGCTTGTAGCGTCATACCCAAGAAGACTCGAGGCTGTCATCGCTGCCAAAGGTGCTTCAACAAAGTACTGAGTAAAGGGTCTGAATATTGTATTTATTTTATGAATTTGTAAACATTTCTAAAAGCCTGTTTTTGCTTTGTCATTATGGGGTATTGTGTGTAGATTGATGTGAAAAAACAACAACTTGTAATCCATTTTAGAATAAGGCTGTAATGTAACAAAATGTGCAAAAGGTCAAGGGGTCTGAATACTTTCCGAAGGCACTGTATAGGGAATACGGTGCCTTTTGGTAATCAGACCTACAAATCCAATCAATTATGAAAGCCTGCAGACTCACAGCAACGGGCACCCGTAGAGGGGAATTGATGGGCAGGTAGAGGGTTGACTGGTAGCGCCCATCCTTCAGCTCCTTCGTCTTACACTTGGGTGCCAAGTGGGTAAACGGGTCACTGGGCAGACGGGCACAGTATCTGTGGGGGAGAAAGGGGGAGAGGGTCATTAGCACACCAGACCACCCACAACCAAATGAAAACAAGATCCAACATATTTTGTTCTCAGTCTATTTAGAGCCTTGTTTCTAATGAGAACCCTTTAAAAAAAAAAAAATATATATATATATATATATATATATATATATATATATATATATCTCTTTCACAGAAGCAAAGCAGCGCTCCCTGTTTTCTCTTGACCTGTTGATGTGTCCGATAGCCGTGTTGATGGTGACGCGGGGCCCTCCTTCCTCAGAGCGGAGCACGTAAGGTGGCAGGATGTTGTCATCATCCAGCACCGGTTCCACCTCAAAGTCACTGACCCCCGCTGCCTTGGAACACTTGTTTCTCAGGATCTGAAGAGGTCAAGAGAAGACCTACAGTCAACAGTATTAGGGTTGTCACAATACTAGTAGAGAAACACCAATGACCTCTCATATCATCCAAGGATGGGGCCTTGTGGACAGGCTCTGAAAACCACTGTCTTCCTCAGACAGACACACTAATCAATTAAACAGGAAGATAGTGGCACCCAATTCCCTATACAGTATAGTGCACTACATTTGACCAGAGCCATAGGGTGCCATTTGGGATGCATACTTAGACAAATCTCTGAGAATCCCTGTGTTCCTCAGACAGACACAATGGGGCCTTGAGGACAGGCTCTGAAAACCACACCTTCTCTATGGCCTTGTAGGTCTTCAGGTCTTCCTCGAAGGTCTTGGTCCTCTCACTTTCAGCCAGCATGATGTAGTTGGAGACAGGAGCTCTGGCTCTGCCTTTAGACTGAACGTAGGACCTGCAGTCAAGTCAAGGTTTATTGAAAGTGCATTTAACAGGGGTCACGACACACTTTACATGATTAAAAAAGAGGAACAAAACAATGTAGAAAGGGAAGGTGAACAATATCAACAATATAAAACTGAACAAAAAGAGAAGCCAATAGTCCATTGGGTAGGAAGCAACAAGGTAGTGAATGGACAAGCAGTGCTGTACCTGTACTCAGTGGGCAAGTCAAACCTCACCACCAGGTTACACTTGGGAATATCTACCCCTTCCTCCACGATGCTGGTCGCTATGAGCAGGTTGGTCTCGTGGGCACGAAACTTACGCAGAACCTGAGAGATGATGAGGAAATGTAGTTAGGTGTGGATGGCAGGAGGGGAGAGAGAGAGAGAGGTAGAAAGAGAGAGAGATATTCTAATATAGGGGTAGGTCAATTTCAATGTAAATAGATGGGATAATGTCATAATCCAAAATGGCATCTGTTGCGTTCCCACCTCTTCCTGTTTCCTGAACTCCACCTCCATCTGCTTGTTACGTGGCTGGTTCTTGCCGATGCTGTGTCCTGTGATGAAGTTACTGCTGATGTAGGCCAGCTCTGGGTCCTGCTTCCCCGCTTCCTTTATCAGCCTGACACACAGAGGGACAGTAATTATGGAAATGGTATTAAGACAACCTAAATCCTCCCTCCAAAATATACTGCTAAATCACAAAGTCAACTCTATATCATTAATTCCATTCTTCTAGTCTTTTGAGCAGTGTACAACAAAACATCCAAGGAGACAGGGTAGCAGAGGCATCACACATTTGAGCCAAAATGGCATTGAACGTCAGACTCGTACCGGTTGAGGACGACGGCCGTGTAGCGCCTCTCAACGAAGATGATCCCACACAGGATGTTGGTGAAAGGCGAGGGGAAGTTCGCCTCGGGTTTCTCCTTCACCTCCACCTCCTCATCCTCGTCTTCGTCCTCCGAGTCACTCCACGACACGTAGTTGTCCTCGTTGCGGTTGTTGTACCACTCCACACTCTCAAACTGCTGCCTCTCGAAGGGCTTGTACTCATGGAGGATCTCCAGGAGACGGATGACCTTCGGGGTCACAAACTTCAGGTCCAGAGAGGCCGGGGAGAAGTGTTCCTCACACAGGGCGTGGACCTAGGATACCAGAAATAAATGACTTTATAATAAGCCCTGTGGACCTATCCTGTGGACCTATCCTGTGGACCTATCCTATACCCAGAGGGGAAATTCACTTGCCCCTGTACACACACACTAGATTGCACAGCAACACAAAATACTAAAAGCAATCAATACCATGTATTTATGCAGCCCTTATCAGAGCAATGGATGTTATGTAGCCCTTATTACAGCAATGGATGTTATGTAGCCCTTATTACAGTAATGGATGTTATGTAGCCCTTATTACAGTAATGGATGTCATGTAGCCCTTATTACAGCAATGGATGTCATGTAGCCCTTATTACAGTAATGGATGTCATGTAGCCCTTATTACAGTAATGGATGTCATGTAGCCCTTATTACAGCAATGGATGTTATGTAGCCCTTATTACAGTAATGGATGTTATGTAGCCCTTATTACAGCAATGGATGTTATGTAGCCCTTATTAGAGTAATGATGTCATGTAGCCCTTATTACAGCAATGGATGTCATGTAGCCCTTATTACAGTAATGGATGTTATGTAGCCCTTATTACAGCAATGGATGTCATGTAGCCCTTATTACAGCAATGGATGTTATGTAGCCCTTATTACAGCAATGGATGTTATGTAGCCCTTATTACAGCAATGGATGTCATGTAGCCCTTATTACAGTAATGGATGTTATGTAGCCCTTATTACAGCAATGGATGTTATGTAGCCCTTATTACAGTAATGGATGTTATGTAGCCCTTATTACAGTAATGGATGTTATGTAGCCCTTATTACAGTAATGGATGTCATGTAGCCCTTATTAGAGTAATGATGTCATGTAGCCCTTATTACAGTAATGGATGTCATGTAGCCCTTATTACAGCAATGTACACTACCGTTCAAAAGTTTGGGGTACTTAAAAATGTCCTTGTTTTCCATGACAACATACATGAAATGAGTTTGAATAGGAAATATTACAAACTGAATAGGAAATGTAGTCATTGACAAGGTTAGAAATAATAATTGTGTCCTTCAAACTTTGCTTTCGTCAAAGAATCCTCCATTTGCAGCAATTACAGCCTTGCAGACCTTTGGCATTCTAGTTGTCAATTTGTTGAGGTAATCTGAAGAGATTTCAACCCATGCTTCCCGAAGCGCCTCCCACAAGTTGGATTGGCTTGATGGGCACTTCTTACGTACCATACGGTCAAGCTGCTCCCACAACAGCTCAATAGGGTTGAGATCCGGTGACTGTGCTGGCCACTCCATTATAGACAGAATACCAGCTGACTGCTTCTTCCCTAAATAGTTATTGCATAGTTTGCAGCTGTGCTTCGGGTCATTGTCCTGTTGTAGGTGGAAATTGGCTCCAATCAAGCGCCGTCCACAGGGTATGGCATGGCGTTGCAAAATGGAGTGATAGCCTTCCTTTTTCAAGATCCCTTTTACCCTGTACAAATCTCCCAATTTACCACCACCAAAGCACCCCCAGACCATCACATTGCCTCCACCATGCTTGACAGATGGCATCAAGCACGCCTCCAGCATCTTTTCATTTGGTCTGCGTCTCACAAATTATGTTATTTGTGATCCGAACACCTCAAACTTCGATTCGTCTGTCCATAACACTTTTTTCCAATCTTCCTCTGTCCAGTGTCTGTGTTCTTTGCCCATCTTAATCTTTTCTTTTTATTGGCCAGTCTGAGATATGGCTTTTTCTTTGCAGCTCTGCCTAGAAGGTCAGCATCCCGGAGTCGCCTCTTCACTGTTGATGTTGAGACTTGTGTTTTGCAGGTACTATTTAATGAAGCTGCCAGTTGAGGACATGTGAGGCATCTGTTTCTCAAACTAGACACTAATGTATTTGTCCTCTTGCTAAGTCAAAGCTATTTGCTGCTCTGGCACCCCAATGGTAGAACAAGCTCCCCCACGACGCCAGGACAACGGAGTCACTGACTACCGTCCGGAGACACTTGAAACCCTACCTCTTTAAGGAATACCTGGAATAGTATAACAGTAATCCTTCTACCCCCCCATAAAAAATAAATAATAAAAAAGGGTGGTTGTCCCACTGGCTATCCTAAGTTGAATGCACCAATTTGTAAGTCGCTCTGGATAAGAGCGTCTGCTAGATGATGTAAATGTAAATGTTGTGCACCGGGGCCTCCCACTCCTTTTTCTATTCTGGTTAGAGACAGTTTGCGCTGTTCTGTGAAGGGAGTAGTACACAGCGTTGTACGAGATCTTCAGTTTCTTGGCAATTTCTCATATGGAATAGCCTTCATTTCTCAGAACAAGAACAGACTGACGAGTTTCAGAAGAAAGTTATTTGTTTCTGGCCATTTTGAGCCTGTAATCGAACCCACAATTGCAGATGCTCCAGATACTCAACTAGTCTCAGGAAGGCCAGTTTTATTGCTTCTTTAATCAGCACAACAGTTTTCAGCTGTGCTAACATAATTGCAAAAGGGTTTTCTAATGATCAATTAGGCTTTTAAAATTATAAATTTAGGATTAGCAAACACAACGTGCCATTGGAACACAGGACTGATGGTTGCTGAAAATGGGCCTCTGTACGCCTATGTACAAAATCAGCCGTTTCCAGCTACAATAGCCATTTACAACATTAACAATGTCTACATTGTATTTCTGATCAAATGTATGTTATTTTAATGGACAAAAACATTGCTTTTCTTTCTAAAACAAGGACATTTCTAAGTGACCCCAAACTTTTGAACAGTAGTGCATGTCACACAGCCCTTATTATAGTAATGGATGTCACACAGCCCTTATTACAGTAATGGATGTTACACAGCCCTTATTACAGTAATGGATGTTACACAGCCCTTATTACAGCAATGGATGTCACACAGCCCTTATTACAGTAATGGATGTCACACAGCCCTTATTACAGTAATGGATGTTACACAGCCCTTATTACAGTAATGGATGTCACACAGCCCTTATTACAGCAATGGATGTCACACAGCCCTTATTACAGTAATGGATGTCACACAGCCCTTATCACAGTAATGGATGTCACACAGCCCTTATTACAGTAATGGATGTCACACAGCCCTTATTACAGTAATGGATGTCACACAGCCCTTATTACAGTAATGGATGTCACACAGCCCTTATTACAGTAATGGATGTCACACAGCCCTTATTATAGTAATGGATGTCACACAGCCCTTATTACAGTAATGGATGTCACACAGCCCTTATTACAGGGCAAGCACTTTACAGAACTCAGCTAGGCCTACATAGCAGCACAGGAGATCAAACTCAACAGGAATCACACAAAGAATATACACAAGGGTAAGTCATTACACACATACCTTCCTCAGGATGGTGTCGGTGAAGAGCAGGAACTTCCTGTTGATCTCTTCCTGTTCGTGTTTGATGTACTTCTGCAACTCCCTCACCATGATGCCAGCCACCTTGTCGGCACACCATGGCCCCAGCACCAGCAGCACCGCCCGGCAGTCACTCAGCACCTGGGGAAGGAGATAATTCAATTAGGCTCTTTGAGAATGTTTGAATCCTAAACAACCTGTGCGTGTAGTAGCCTACATGTTGTTTGAGGAACAGTAGGCCAACATAGCTCCTGTTATAGGTCAGAGCCTGTTCAACCTCTCTTTCGTAACGTCTGAGATCCCCAGAGATTGGAAAGCTGCCGCGGTCATCCCCCTCTTCAAAGGGGGTGACACTCTAGATCCAAACTGTTACAGACCTATATCTATCCTGCCCTGCCTTTCGAAAGGTTTTGAAAGCCAAGTTAACAAACAGATCACCAACCATTTCGAATCCCACCGTACCTTCTCCGCTATGCAATCCGGTTTCCGAGCTGGTCATGGGTGCACCTCAGCCACGCTCAAGGTCCTAAACGATATTATAACCGCGATCGATAATAGACAGTACTGTGCAGCCGTCTTCATCGACCTGGCCAAGGCTTTTGACTGTCAACCACCGCATTCTTATTGGCAGACTAAATAGCCTTGGTTTCTCAAATGACTGCCTCGCCTGGTTCACCAACTACTTCTCAGATAGAGTTCAATGTGTCAAATCGGAGGGCCTGTTGTCTGGACCTATGGCAGTCTATGGGGGTGCCACAGGGTTCAATTCTTGGGCCGACTCTTTTCTCCGTGTATATCAATGATGTCGCTCTTGCTGCTGGTGACTCTCAGATCCACCTCTACGCAGACGACACCATTTTGTATACATCTGGCCCTTCATTGGACACTGTGTTAACAAACCTCCAAACAAGCTTCAATGCCATACATTTACATTTACGTCATTTAGCAGACGCTCTTATCCAGAGCGACTTACAGTTAAGTGCATTCTTTTTTCTTTTTTTTTCATACTGGCCCCCCGTGGGAAACGAACCCACAACCCTGGCGTTGCAAACGCCATGCTCTACCAACTGAGCTACCTCCCTGCCGGCCATTCCCTCCCCTACCCTGGACGACGCTGGGCCAATTGTGCGCCGCCCCATTGGTCTCCCGGTTGCGGCCGGCTACAGCAGAGCCTGGATTCGAACCAGGATCTCTAGTGGCAGAGCTAGCACTGCGATGCAGTGCCTTAGACCACTGCGACACTCGGGACCACTGCGCCATACAACACTCCTTCAGTAGCCTCCAACTGCTCTTAAACACTAGTAAAACTAAATGCATGCTTTTCAATCGAACGCTGCTGGCACCCGCCCACCCGACTAGAATCACCACTCTCGACGGGTCTGACCTAGAGTATGTGGACAACTACAAATACCTAGGTGTCTGGTTAGACTGTAAACTCTCCTTCCAGACTCACATTAAGCATCTCCAATCCAAAGTTAAATCTAGAATCGGCTTCCTATTTCGCAACAAAGCCTCCTTCACTCATGCTGCCAAACATGCCCTCGTAAAACTGACTATCCTACCGATCCTTGACTTCGGCGATGTCATTTACAAAATAGCCTCCAACACTCTACTCAGCAAATTGGATGTAGTCTATCACAGTGCCATCCGTTTTGTCACCAAAGTCCCATATACTACACACCACTGTGACCTGTACGCTCTTGTTGGCTGGTCCTCACTACATATTCGTCGCCAAACTGTCACGAGAATTTCTATCTCTAATTCAACCTAAGCTTGAATCATTACCAGAGGTTGTAAGGCTCTGGTTTTAATCATAAATGATTCAAGGTCCACAACCAGCAAGAATGATCTGTATTTTTATTCATGGAGAGCTCTGGCGCCAAAAACCCATACATACTGTTTTATACCCCTTGACACACAAAGGCACTTTGCTCCGCCCACCTTTAGGAGGCTTTTTTTAACCCGTTTTCTCAGTCCCCTTCACCCTGGAATGTTTAGTCCCGCCCCCCTCTGTTAGTGGGTTGCCACTACATTATAACTCTAACACCGTTCACACATTTATACTGTATTTGGGGTGAAATCCTTTAGTCATTATTCTTAAAATACAAAATTAATCTAACACAAACCCACTGGCTCCAGGCCATCTATAAATCACTGCTAGGCAAATCTCCGCCTTATCTTAGCTCATTGGTCACCATAGCAACACCCACCCGTAGTGTGCGCTCCAGCAGGTATATCTCACTGGTCATCCCCAAAGCCAACACCTCCTTTGGCCGCTATTCCTTCCAGTTCTCTGCTGCCAATGACTGGAACGAACTACAAAAATCTCTGAAGCTGGAGACTCTTATCTCCCTCACTAACTTTAAGCATCAGTTGTCAGAGCACCTTATCGATCACTGCACCTGTACACAGCCCTTCTGAAATTAGCCCACTCAACTACCTCATCCCCATATTGTTATTTATTTTGCTCATTTGCACCCCAGTATCTCTATTTGCACATCATCTCTTGCACATCTATCATTCCAGTGTTAATACTAATTGTAATTATTTTGCACTATGGCCTATTTATTGCCTTACCTCCATAACTTGCTACATTTGCACACACTGTATATATATTTTCTGTTGTATTTTTGACTTTATGTTTTACCCCATATGTAACTCTGTGTTGTTGTTTTTATCGCACTGCTTTGCTTTATCTTGGCCAGGTCGCAGTTGTAAATGAGAACTTGTTCTCAACTGGCTTACCTGGTTAAATAAAGGTTAAATAAAAATAAATAAAGCTGTGTGCCCGGAAAACGTTTGTAGAGTATGGGTGAAATTAGGCCTTGTGGTGCTCATGTGAATTTCATTTCTTTTTTTAAGCTTCAGACCAGCCTAACTTCTCCCTTAAAACATACTTTTGGTATTCAATACTCTCTGGTGTAGATTAGGACTATACAGACATTCTCATTAGCAGACATGTTTGGATATGAAGGTGAGGTCAGACCTGTTTGGATATGAAGGTGGGGTCAGACATGTTTGGATATGAAGGTGAGGTCAGACATGTTTGGATATGAAGGTGAGGTCAGACATGTTTGGATATGAAGGTGGGGTCAGACATGTTTGGATATGAAGGTGAGGTCAGACCTGTTTGGATATGAAGGTGGGGTCAGACATGTTTGGATATGAAGGTGGGGTCAGACCTGTTTGGATATGAAGGTGGGGTCTCTGTCCTCTCGAGGCACAGGTATGTTGCAGTCGTTGAGGAAGTGGAGAGCCTCATCCAGCTCGCTCAGTAGATGCTCTGAGAGGCCGCTCTTGTCCAGGTAGGGTCCACAGTCCAGTACCACCTCTCTGGGCTGGGAGGCATATCTGAGACACACGCACACAGTTAAACGTTCCCTTTTCGATCATAATGAGTAAGGGCTCAATCCAATCTGTATCCGGAAGTTCAGAACAATTTAAATCTAAAGGCAATGTTCCCACGTTAACCAAGACTGCATTCACGGTAAACGCTGCATATGTCGGCTCAATCAGAAATTAACTTTACATTTCAATCGCGCTATACCACTGAACTTCCACGATACGGATTGAATGGAGCCCTTAGATTACCTGGACAGGAGGGACCTGATCCTAGATCAGCAGTCCTACTCTGAGACGCTTTGTGAATACGGGCGATAATGGGTATAGTTACAGTACCTGTCGAGGACAACGAGGTCAGTAGCGGTCTCTGCATTGCTCCGCAGGATCCGCTCCAGGTTCTGGATCTTTTGCTCCAGTTCAGACGGGTCACATTTACCATTCAGAATGGACGCAGTGAGGCCCAGGATCCGAGGGCTGCACGGACAGCCCTCACATAGCTGAAACAGAGATAGACACAGCCCACACATAGCTGAAACAGAGATAGACACAGCCCTCACATAGCTGAAACAGAGCTAGACACAGCCCTCACATAGCTGAAACAGAGCTAGACACAGCCCTTACATAGCTGAAACAGAGATAGACACAGCCCACACATTACTGAAACAGAGGAGAGATAGCTGAAAACAGAGATAAAGAGACAGCAACCACATAGCTGGAAACAGAGATAAAGAGACAGCAATCACATAGGTGGAAACAGAGAAATGGGAGACAGGCTGGCTCAGTCTTCGTAAAACAAGGAAACTCCAAAAACATTGAACAGCCTCCAATGGGGTCCAACAATGAAGGCTGACTGACCACTTTTCTCCTTTACAAAATGGGGAATAATATAATGAATAATCTCCGATCTCCATAATGCCTTGGCTTTCGACATACAGGGAAGGAAGAGTACGTGCTTGGCTTTCTAGCGACAATTGAATGCATAGCTACGAAGAACAGATAGTAAAATGTACCTTCATTATATCCCGGTAGGGATGATCCGTGATTGCCAGGTGACACTCATCAAAAACCACCAGGTTGAGTTTCCATAGTGGCAACACTCCACTCTTCAGCACATGCAGGAAGATATGGCATGTCATAACGAGCACCTAGAAGAACAGAAATGATGGAGAGAATGAGTGGAGGGAGGAGAGGATATTGGGATGGCCTCGAAGAATAGATTAATGTCGTGACATTGATTGTGTCCATCCACAGAATACTTGGACATGACACTGAGGGCAATCAGTGTTCTTTTTCAAAGTTGCTGAAATTGAGGGGGGGAAAACTTTGGTAATGGTTTATTTTATAGTACTACTATTACCATTGTTATTTATCTGAAAGAACTTGGTAACAATTGGTACTTTATTCTGGCAATTGTTTAAAATTATATGAAAATGGATAACAATTGGTGATTTCCAGAAAGTCTGTTAAATGAACGCCACCTGATTTTCGATCATTTCTTGGCTCCACTTTTCCCTGGACCATGATGAGGTCTTCTCCACACTCATGTATTCTCCAACCTGGAGATCAGAGTGGGTCCTAACACTAGCTGCTTGCTGAATCACAGACGATGCTTTATTTACCATGGAAGAGAATAGGGGAAAACAGAGAAAAATCATGGTCTCAATCACATCATATTTGATGTACACTTATTAGAAGTTCATACTTCTAAAAGGCTGCATCGTGACTCTCCACCCTTCTCAATCCTTCTCCTTAATGTGTGCCCTTCCACCCTCCCTGACATGGATTTAACAATGGTGAAACTCCCTCCAGCCGATGCTTACACCAATCCAATGCTTTGAAATCCATGATAGGGAGTGCAAGTGCACACTTTGGGAGATGTGCGAAGAATTGGGATGCACCAAATAGTAAATGTATCTGCGAATTCAAATGTAGCTACCTGCATTCACCAGGAAAACTGTCCTCTTCCCGTGTTCGGCTAAGTCTCCCCGGATTTGGTGGGAGAGCTCTTTAGTTAGGAGTACTGCAATAAAGGTCTTCCCTGAGCCAGTATTTAAGCAGACAATAGTATTGTGTTCAAGAGCTGCTTCAAGAAGTTCAACCTGGCAGGGTAGATGAGGTTACTATCATTAGTTTCAAACGTTGTGCACTATAATTGGTTACAAATAAATAAACTCATGAAATAAAAGATAGATACCCACACACTAACGAATGTTCGCAGTTTATTGAGCGACAGATCAATGGTGAAAGTACCAATGTCTACCTACAACGCAATGCACTCTCCTAGTGCATAGTCAACTGTCAGTTGAGCTCAAATGTAAACTGTCAGTTGGACTACTTGCTCATTCCTAACCTGATATTTCCTAGGCGTGTAGATGTTGTCGTGGATGGCCTCCTGTTGCCACGGGAGACCAAAGAAAGGCCCCATGGGATTGGAGGCGGGGGTGACCAGCTGGAGTCCTGCCATGCTGCTTTTGGGGGATGCTGGGGGGTGCGGTCCTCCACTCTTCCACTTTATTTTGTCATTGTCCTCCTAAAACTTACTGGTTCAGGAAGAAACGGACAGCATGCAGACATGATGTTACTAATAATACAACAATTGCTAATATTATTGAATGACATGACCAATAATAAATCATTTCATCATTCTCCTCCTCTAAAGCTTACTGGTTCAGGAAGCAACAGGCAGCATGATGTTACTATTAATACAATAATTACTAATATCATTGACAAGACATGATCAACAATAAACATGATATTCACACAAGTGAAATGTATACTTACAGGTAGTGTCATAGACTCTGTGATGGGCCAGGCAGGACTTCTTCTGGGCTTCATCTCAACTAGAGGAGCTGTACAGAGAAACACACAACACAACCTCCTTAACATCAAAACCATTGATAGACCTATTACACAAAAGCAAATGAAACTGTTGTGTCCTAGATTCTGGCTAACTATCATATGTCAGGCTTATGGTAAAACGTATTTTACCTCTATGCAGTTGACTGGCTGTAATGGCAGGGCTTGAGAAGCTGAAGATTCACAGACAGAAAGGGAAAAAACATGAGAACACAGACATCTTGATGGGAGGGAATGGGAGAGGGCTGGTGTGGGTCGGAGGGGAGTGGAGAAGGGAGGGTGGTGGATCTAAATTCTGGATGGCAACTAGCTTTTCAACACATTGTTGCCGCCCTAAAATCAAGACCATGTGCCTGCCCTGATCACCGCTGCTTAACACAGCTGCAACCAATCCCAGCAGTCTTTTCAGCTCAGCCAGCACAAGCCCTCATTTTTATAGCGGTATCACATTTGCTGCTGGTTAAAAGCGGTTGGCTCCATCTAGCTGACTGCGTCCCAAATGGCACCCTATTCCATATATAGTGCAGTACTTTTGACCAGAACCCCCACGGGACCTGGTCAAAAGTAGTGCACTACATTGGGAATGGGATGGTGTGCCAGTCTCTCTGATGCGATGCAGAGAGAGAGCACAGACAAGCATATATTAATAAAATCCAACAGATTATATTAGGGCTGACCCCAATTAATCTACAGGTCAATTGTTTGGTCGATTGGCTGTTGGTCGACTAAGATAATTTTTTTGTCGAGCAGTAGCGCATATATACATATATATATATATACACACACACACACATACATACACACACACACACACACTACCTGTCAAAAGTTTAAGAACAACTACTCATTCAAGGGTTCTTTATTTTTACTATTTTCTACATTGTAAAACTATGAAATAACACATATGGAATCATGTAGTAACCAAAAAAGTGTTAAACAAAACAAAATATATTTTATATTTGAGATTCTTCAAATAGCCACCCTTTGCCTTGATGACAGCTTTGCACACTCTTGGCATTCTCTCAAACAGCTTCATGGGGAAGTTACCTGGAATGCATTTCAATTAACAGGTGTGCCTTCTTAAAAGTTAATTTGTGGAATTTCTTTCCTTCTTAATGCATTTGAGCCAATCAGTTGTGTTGTGACAAGGTAGGGGTGATTTACAGAAGATAGTCATATTTGGTAAAAGACCAAGTCCATATTATGGCAAGAACAGCTCACATAAGCAAAGAGAAACGACAGTCCATCATTACTTTAAAAGACATGAAGGTCAGTCAATACAGAACATTTCCAGAAGTACAGTCGCAAAACCATCAAGTGCTATGATGAAACTGGCTCTCATGAGGACCGCCACAGGAATGGAAGACCCAGAGTTACCTCTGCTGCAGAGGATACGTTCATTAGAGTTACCAGCCTCAGAAATTGCAGCCCAAATAAATGCTTCACAGAGTTCAACAGCCATCTCAACTGTTCAGAGGAGTGTGTGAATCAGGCCTTCATGGTCGAATTGCTGCAAAGAAACACCACTAAAAAGAAGCCTTGCTTGGGCCAAAAAACACGAGCAATGGACATTAGACCGGTGGAAATTTGTCCTTTGAAATGGAGTTCAAATTGGAGATTTTTCATTGCAACCGCCGTGTCTTTGTGAGACGTGGTGTGGGTGAACGGATGATCTCCGCATGTGTATTTCCCACCGTAAAGCATGGAGGAGGTGGTGAGATGGTGCTTTGCTGGTTACAATGTCTGTCATTTATTTAGAATTCAAGGCACACTTAACCAGCATGGCTACCACAGCATTCTGCAGCGATACACCATCCCATCTGGTTTGGGTTTAGTGGGACTATCATTTGTTTTTCAACAGGACAATGACACAACACACCTCCAGGCTGTGTAAGGGCTATTTGACCAAGAAGGAGAGTGATGGAGTGCTGCATCAGATGGCCTGGCCACAAAACAATCCCCCGACCTCAACCAAATTGAGATGGTTTGGGATGAGTCGGACAGCAGAGTGAAGGAAAAGCAGCCAACAAGTGTTCAGCATATGTGGGATTGGAAAAGCATTTCAGGTGAAGCTGGTTGAGAGAATGCCAAGAGTGTGCAAAGCTGTCATCAAGGCAAAGGGTGGCACTTTTTTCCATTAGAACAGCCTCTCTGGTATTATTTATAATTGATGTTTACACTTGTTCCAAATGTCAGAAAAACAATAACACTCCTTTTTCTTGATCTCCTTGTTGTGTTTGTTATTGTTATTATGATAAATAATGTCATTGTCATTAGTAGTCTTAGTATAGCAGCCTTGTATAACCACCATTGAGCTGTAGGCCTAAGAGCGCATCTTGTTTAGTCTTAATACCGTAACTTACTTAGGCCTATTTTTCAATACTTACAGTGCATTCGGAAAGTATTCAGACCCCTGGACTTTTTCCACATTTTCTGGCGTTAACACACAATACCCCATAATGACAAAGCAAAAGTAGGTTTAGAAATGTTTGCTAATTTATTAAAAATGAAAAACAGAAATATCACATTTACATAAGTATTCAGACCCTTTGCTATGAGACTACAAATTGAGCTCAGGTGCACCCGTTTTCCATTGATCATCCTTGAGATGTTTCTACAACTTGATTGGAGTCCACCTGTGGTAAATTAAATTGATTGGACATGATTTCGAAAGGCACACACCTGTCTATATAAGGTCCCACAGTTGACATTGCATGTCAGATCAAAAAGCAAGCCATGAGGTTGAAGGAATTGTCCGTAGAGCTCCGAGACAAGATTGTGTTGAGGCACAGATCTGGAGAAGGGTACCAAAACATTTCTGCAGCATTGAAGGTCCCCAAGAACACAGTGGCCTCCATCATTCTTAAAAGGAAGAAGTTTCAAACCACCAAGACTCTTCCTAGTGCTGGCCGCCCGACCAAACTGATAAATCGAGGCAGAAGGGCCTTGGTCAGGGAGGTGACCAAGAACCCGATGGTCACTGACAGAGCTCCAGAGTTCCTCTGTGGAGATGGGAGAACCTTCCAGAAGGACAACCATCTCTGCAGCACTCCACCAATCAGGCCTTTATGATAGTGGCCAGATGGAAGCCACTCTTCAGTAAAAGGCACATGGCAGCCTGCTTGGAGTTTGCCAAAAGGCACCTAAAGACTCCCAGACCATGAGAAACAAGATTCTCTGGTCTGATGAAACCAAGATTGAACTCTTAGGCCTGAATGCCAAGCGTCACGTCTGGAGGAAACCTGGCGCCATCCCTACGGTGAAGCATGGTGGTGGCAGCATCATGCTGTGGGGATGTTTTTCAGCGGCAGGGAGACTTGTCAGAATCGAGGGAAAGATGAACAGAGCAAAGTACAGAGAGATCCTTGATGAAAACCTGCTCCAGAGCGCTCAGGACCTCAGACCTTCCAACCGGACAACGACCCTAAGCACACAGCCAAGACAACGCAGGAATGGCTTCGGGACAAGTCTCTGAATGTCCTTGAGTGGCCCAGCCAGAGCCCGGATTTGAACCCGATCTAACATCTCTGGAGAGACCTGAAAATAGCTGTGCAGCGACGCTCCCCATCCAACCTGAGAGTTTGAGAGGATCTGCAGAAAAGAATGGGAGAAACTCCCCAAATACAGGTGTGCCAAGTTTGTAGCGTCATACCCAAGAAGACTTGAGGCTGTAATCGCTGACAAAGGTGCTTAAACAAAGTAGTGAGTAAAGGGTCTGAATACTTATGTAAATGTGATTATCCGTTTTTTTAATCAAATTAAATACAACTTTTGCTTTGTCATTATGGGGTACTGTGTATAGATTGATGAGGGGGAAAAACTATTTAATCAATTTAAGAATAAGACTAAGGTGACAACATTTGGAAAATGTCAAGGGGTCTGAATACTTTTCAAATGTACTGTACATGTGTCACGTAAAGCGAGCAAGGGTTGAGGGAATAGGGAATGTTTTTCCTAAACAAATTAGGGATTTCAGTGACAGAACTTTTCAGTCAAATGGCTGTAATTATGTTGCAGGTTCAGCAACACGGACAGTGTGATAAACACTGTGGTGGTCGCTACAGCAGGGAGGAGAGCGAGACAATGGGTGCTGTCAGTCACTCGCTGTCGTTTGGTTTTTTAACACAGCGCAGCAAGTCTGAGCCCGGCCCGGCACAATCAAATCAATTGCTGGTCGGACTCCCTCTAGACATTTGTGTGTCTTCATTATTTAATCAAACAGTGTGCTTAAAGCATCAGACAAGCTCAGGGAATATAGAAGATTTGATTAAAACACATAGGATGTCTATATATGGAAAAAATACACGTTTTAACATTTCAACTAATCGATTGGTCAAAAGAACAGATGACTCTTGGTCGAGCAAGATTTTTTTTGGTCAGGGACAGCCCTAAATTGGAATGAGTACACTTCAAATTATTTAATGAGGATCCATTACTGATGTTTAGAACTGATGTTTAGAAGCATTTTTACAGTGGTCAGAAACTTCTGAAAGTGGCATTAATTATGTTTTAACTGTTACATTTGACTGCCTGTTGTATATTGTCCATCGGTGTGACAATGTTGTCTTGGACAAAATGTAAAAATAAATTGTTAAGCATGAGGCAGGT